GGGGGGGTGGGGGGAGAAACGTAAACCCCTAAACCCTAAACCCGAAACCCTAAACCCCAAAGGCCCTGCTCAAATCAGCTCATCCACAGGTGAGAAAGTGGCCTGGCTGTGGCTACGAAACATGAGGACCCCAATGCCCTCAGCCCTGTAAGCCACCCGAAACCCGAAACCCGAAACCCGAAACCCTAAACCCTAAACCCTAAACCCTAAACCCTAAACCCTAAACCCTAAACCCTAAACCCTAAACCCTAAACCCTAAACCCTAAACCCTAAACCCGCTGAAACGTGTAGGGATTAGGATCCTGTTCTAGCCTAGGTGAAGGAGTCGTTACTGGAACGGTTAGGGCTGAGGGACTTATTTCATTTAGGAATATGACGCTCAATCCTTGTGCCCTCGCTTCTTCTGGGATTCCAAGGGACGGTGGGTTAGGGTTTAGGGTTTAGGGTTTAGGGTTTAGGGTTTAGGGTTTAGGGTTTAGGGTTTATAGGGTTTAGGGTTTAGGGTTTATAGGGTTTAGGGTTTAGGGTTTATAGGGTTTAGGGTTTAGGGGGTTGAGGATGTGGGGGTGAGTTGTGTGTGGCGAGGAGTGGGTGGTTTGATAGACCTCATCAACATTTACAAAAGGTCTTGAGAATTTTCTGCAAGCAAAGATTGTTCTTACAGCATGTGCGCTCTTGTCTCCTTCTTCTAGTTTGCTTCTTCGTCCCGCGCAACACATGGTAGCTGTGAAAGACACGACACTAAGGACCCGCAAGTTTGAACACCATGCGAGCTTCATTCTTTAGCCTTGAGCGACGCAGCAATATGTGGTTGAACAGGACAACCTTGAACACCGCTAGGAAATGCCCATCACCAGATTCGCTGACCCAGGTCCCTGATGAACAGATGCTTCTTCACCCAGATCTCGAAACCTCGCGTCCCAAAGACGAAGGTGAACACCACCAACAAGCCGTTCAAAGCGCAAACAACTATGCTCCAACCACAAAGCAGCCACACAGGCCTGAAACCCTAAACCCTACACCCTAAAGACCCCTCTAAACCCTACAATCGTCACACCCCAAAGTCCAAGCTTAAACCTAGGGTGCCCCCAGTAGTACCCTTATTCCCTTTTCTTGGGGGGGTCTAGGGTTTGGGGTTTAGGGTTTCGAGTTTAGGGTTTAGGGTTTAGGTTCCCTAAGTATAAGCCGCTTGAAGCACAAAAAGAGCATCCCTTTCTAATCCTAGGTTGCTTGGGCAACCCAGCAACTTGAATCACCACCCTAAACTAAACCCTAAACCCTAAACCCTAAACCCTACGTACCCGCGCAGGAAGTATGCCCCGGACCTCTACGAACGAGCCATGGCCATGAACCGGCGGGACCGGTTCAAGATGAGGTGCCTACGTGCAGGGTTTAGGGTTTAGGGTTTAGGGTTTAGGGTTTAGGGTTTGGGGTTTAGGGTTTAGGGTTTAGGGTGCTGGATTTGCGGTTGTCTTGCACCGCGAGCATCGACCTCATTTCCGGAGATTTGCCACAAATTATACCGGTCGCACATGACATTGGGGGCTTGCTCAAAAACCCCAACTTGAGGCTGGAATCACGGTTTTCCTTAGAAGCGTCGGAAGCTTGACGCGACGCCGGTGATGCGCGCGACATTGAGGCTGCGCTCAACAATGCTCAACATCGCATACTGGTCATGTCATTTCACGCCGCCTCATGTCCACTTCACCCGCAATGGCAATTCAGGGCGTTCAAGCATTACCCTAAACCCTAAACCCTTCATCGAGTTCGAAGGCGTCTACCCATAAACCCCCTTCAAGCTTACACAGTCTTACGGTTTAGGGGTTCCTCCCCCGCAACCCTAAACACCCTAGGACCCCAACCTTGATGTATGCAATTAATGGATCAAAAGCCTCCCCCTACAGCCCTAAACATCAAATCCCTCAGAAACCCTAAACGCCCCTAAGCACGGCCCCTTAAAGCTGTAAGCAATGCCTACCCGAGACCCACCCTAAACCCTAAACCCTAAACCCTCAACCCTAACCCCCAAACCCTAAACCCCAAACCAATCAAACCCTGGACCCCCGCACCCGCTTGCAGGCACGAACGCCCGGCTGGCGAGCGCTTGTCAGATGCCAGGCTGTGGTGGGTTTAGGGTTTAGGGTAAGGGTTTAGGGTTTAGGGTTTAGGGTTTAGGGTTTAGGGTTTAGGGTTTAGGGTTTAGGGTTTAGGGTTTAGGGTTTAGGGTTTAGGGTTTAGGGTAAGGGTTTAGGGTTTTTGGGTTTAGGGTTTAGGGTGGGGAAGTCTGGGGTTTTTAAGGCTTCAGAGCGGTTTTTGAATCTTTGCAATTTGAGGACGCCACCGAAGTTGTGAGGTTTTGGGGTTTCACCCTAAACCCTAAACCCTAAACCCTAAACCCTAAACCCTAAACCCTAAACCCTAAACCCTAAACCCTAAACCCTAAACCCTAAACCCTAAACCCTAAACCTAAACCCTAAAACCTAAAACCCTAAACCCTAAACCGGTGTTAGCCCAGAGGGATTTGTACTACGATTTTGGATTTAGGTACCCAAAAACCATACTAAATAAGGTTTTGGGTACCTAATTCCATAATGGTTACTACAAATGGACCCTCTGGGTAGAGCTTAGGTTTTTTGGCCGTTCAGGATGCGTAGGGCTTGCGAGTCAAGGTGCGGAGGATGCTAAGGGTCTTAAGGTTCATTGGGCTTTGCATAGGGCTTTGAAGTTCCGGTTTCACTAGGCATATATATATATATATATATTTATATATTTATTTATTTATGTATATTTTATTTATTTATTTATGAATTATTTATTTATTTATGAATTGTTTATTTTTTTATGAATTATTTATTTATTTATGAATTATTTATTTATTTATGAATTATTTTTTATTATTTTTATTTATGAATTATTTATTTATTTATTTATTTATTTATGTTTTTGTCTGCGTGTGTGTGTGGGGGGGGAGGGGTTTCGGGTTGAGGCTGAGGGTTTACGAAAACCCGAAGGTTTGGGGGGCGGGGGGGTGAACAAAAATCTGCTTTTGCAGGTCGGGGCTGTTAGGGCTCCGAGGTTGAAATCGTAAGGAGGGACTAGGGTTTAGGGTTTAGAGTTTAGGGTTTGGGGTTTAGGGTTTAGGGTTCTAAACCCTAAACCCTAAACCCCAAACCCTAAACCCTAAACCCTCGAAAAGCTGCCCTGGGCCAGCTCCTCCAGCAGCGAGTCCTCCAGCGACTCCTCCAGTGACGAGGCCGTGGACTTAGACCCCATCGGCCTAGAGGCGCGACTTCTTTTTTTTGTTTTTGTTTTTAAGGGGTTTTGGGCTTGTTGTTTCGTTTATTATTATTATTATCATTATTATTATTATAGTTTATGATTTGTTTTTTGTGGGGGGGTGGGGGGGGGGGGGGGGGGGGGGGGGGGGGGGCGGAGGTTTGGGGTTGTCTGTGGATTTTGGTTTCGTTTGTTGTTGAAGGTTTTGGGCTTTGGCTTCGGTTTCAGGGCTTCAAAGTTCAACTCTTCAACCCTGAAAGGCCGGTGCCACCATCTATGTGGCACACTTGTCTTGAACCTCGTCGGGTTGCTGAGCGCGGCGGCGTTTGTGTAGGGTGGTCTTTCGTCGTGTTTGTGGCTTAGAAGCCTTTGGAAATACCATGCCGGGTTTTGGGGCCTCAATTCCCGTCAGGTTTCGCGCTTTGTTGACCCAAAACCCAGGCCCTAAACTCCTTAAACCGTAACCCCTGTAAACCCTAAGCCCTGAACCCTAAACCCTAAGCCCTAAACCCTAAACCTTAAACCCTAAACCCTAAACCCTGAACCGCAGCTACAGCCGAAAGCAACGTGAGCCCCAAGTCCTCTCGCGCAGGCTGCGGTCCCCGATGCTTTTAAGAAGCGACCTGGCTAGCTTTATGGTTTAGGGTTCAGGGTTCAGGGTTTAGGGATCAGGATTAGGGTTTAGGGTTTAGGGTTTAGGGTTTAGGGTTTAGGGTTTAGGGTTTAGGGCTTAGGGTTTAGGGCTTAGGGTCGAGATTTGCTTTGGTGCCTGCAGCGCTTTTGGTGTTTGGCCTTGGTTCTAGGGTTTTAGGCTTTTTGGAACCTTAATTAAGGGTTCAGGGTTTAGGGTTTAGGGTTTGGGGACTTTGAAGTTACAGGGTCTTACGTTCTGGAGCTCCAGGCAGTCAATCCTAATCCCAAATCGTTGAGGTTCTTGTTAATGGGTCTAGGGTTTCAAGTTTAGGGTTTGCGGTCTAAACCCTAAACCCTAATCCCTAAACCCTAGCCCTAAACCCTAAACCCTAAACCCTACAAACCCTAAACCCAGATGTCCTTTAGAAACCTTATGTAGGGCTCAGGGCTTCAGCTGAGTCCGAGCCACGCTCTGGGCCTACGTGTCTGACGACCCTAAACCCTAAACCCTAAACCCTAAACCCTAAACCCTAAACCCTAAACCCTAAACCCTAAACCCTAAACCCTAAACCCTAAACCCTATAGGCCTTCAAAGCAGGTGTCCCCTGTAAGTTATGCTTTAGTGTATAGGGGTTCGGCGTTAGGGGTCGAGGGGTTTCGGGTTTAGGGTTTAGGGGTTTAGGGGTTTAGGGGTTTAGGGGTTTAGGGGTTTAGGGGTTTAGGGGTTTAGGGGTTTAGGGTTTAGGGTTTGAGGGTGTAGGGCTTGTAGGGTTTTAGGGCTTTAGGTTTTCAGGGGTTTTAGCGTTTAGGGTCTCGTGTTTTGTAGGGCTTGTGTCGCTTCCCTGAGTCCCCTAGAAACCCTAGAAGCGGTACACAGAAAGCCCTATGAACCCTAGGTCAACCCGACACCTTGGCAGTTTCAGGTGATAGCCCTAAACCCGAAGCCCTAAACCCTAAACCCCCAAAGCCGTAAGACCCTAAAATCCTAAACCGGAAGCCCTAAACCCTAAACCCTAAAACCCTAAACCCTAAACCCTAAACCCTAAACCCTAAACCCGCATGGGCAAGGCTGGGCGCCGCATCCTTTCAGAAGCAAGGCCGCTACGACGTGGACCGCCTGTCCACGCCTGGGGCTCAGGGTTTAGGGTTTAGGGTTTAGGGTTTAGGGTTAGGGTTGTTGGGGGGTTTTGGGGTTTTCAGGCTTTAGGGTTTTTAGGGGTTTAGGTCTTTGGGGCTTTAGGGTTTTAGGCCTTAAGGGTTTTAGGGCTTTGGGGTATTATGGTTTTAGGGTTTTAGGGCTTTAGGGCGTCTAGGCTTTTTGGGGCTTGAGGGCTTTCGCGTTTTTGGAGTTTTGGAGTTTTTTGGGGTGTAGAGCTGCTTCCCATATGTGAACCGCAGGCCAGCAAAATAGATTTGTCTTGTCCAGTGACGAGTGCTTTTCAATAACCCTAGTCGCGAGATGCGGCTCTTCAATCTTGACTTGGTTTTGTTGGATGGGCACGAGTTGCCCTCCATGCAGATGCAGATCTCCGGGCAGTTTGAAGACCTTGGTCTGGAAGCGTGGGCCCGCGCGTAGTCCCTGCTGTTTGACCACTGCTGTTTGAGTTTGGCCGGCCAGACCGAAGCGCGCGCTCAATTTCATCGACAATAGCCCTATGTAGGCAGAGTTTTAGGGTTTAGGGTTTAGGGAGTTGTGGATTATGAATATATGGCGAAATATGACAATGTGCCCGGGTTGTCGCATAGCTGGATCCTGGCCGTGCTCCCCTAAACCCTAAACCCTAAACCCTAAACCCTAAACCCTAAACCCTAAACCCTAAACCCTAAACCCTAAACCCTAAACCCTAAACCCTAAACCCTAAACCCCTAAACCATAAACCCTAAACCCTAAACCCTAAACCCTAAACCCTAAACCCTAAACCCTAAACCCTAAACCCTAAACCCTAAACCCTAAACCCTAACCCTAAACCCTAAACCCTAAACCCTAAACCCGAGGACCTGTCGCGTTCTGCTATGAAGTTGAGACTTCGCTGTGCCCTTCCATGCAACAAATCCCGAACCCTAAACCCAGGAGCCTATGAGCACCAAGGTCGCCGGGTTTAGGGTTTAGGGTTTAGGGTTTAGGGTTTAGGGTTTAGGGTTGAGGGTCGCATTGTTTGCACAGTTTCGGTGTCTTTGGGGTTTCAGGGGTCTCTTTCTCTTTGTCTTTGTCCCTGTCCGTGTCTTGGCGTTTGTCTTGGTCTTCGTCTTTGTCTTTGTCTTGGTGCGTATGTGTGCGTGTTCGTTCTTGCTTTTGTTTGTTCTGCTTTCAAGTGTGGTTCTGGTCGCTCTTCCATGCCCACACGGATCCATCAGTGCTCCGTTTCGGCCTTGCGCCTCCCTCATAATTACGCAGTGGTAGGCTGGTTCGATTCCTCCTTTCCTCTCCCCAGATGGAGGCTCATGTTGCTGCAGCCAATTACCGTGGTTAAGCCACAAAATGTTGATTGCCGGCTGGTGGTTCTGGGCTTTGGGCTCCACGCCCTGTGGCCTCAGCCCCTTCTTTCAGCTTGGGTTTTCAGGCTTCAGACCTTGTTGAACTTGGGTCTTGGGCTCTCGTTCCAGAGTGGGTGAGACTGTGTGTGGTGGGTTAGGGTTTAGGGTTCAGGGTTAGGGTTTATAGGGATTAGGGTGTAGGGTTTCGGGTTTAGGGTTTAGGGTTTGGGGTTTAGGGTTTAGGGTTTAGGGCTCGAGCTGAATCCGAATCCCCAGACTCCCAAGCGCTTCGCGGGGCGCGCCAAGGACGGCGCGCAACTCCATCATCCCGGGTGAGCGAGGCCCTGGGTGCCAGGGGATCGATCTACAGGGGCCTGAGAGTTTAGGGTTTAGGGCGTTTAGGGTTTAGGGTTTAGGGTTTAGGGTTTAGGGTTTAGGGTTTAGGGTTTAGGGTTTAGGGTTTTCCCAGAGACGAAGAGGAAGGAGAGCGACCTGCACATGCTGCAGGACGTCGGTAGGGCTTGCAGATCATCGTACAAAGCCTCAGCCCCAAATTCCGTACAGGGTTCAGGCCTTAGGGCTTGTCATTTCATTAGGGTTTAGGGTTTAGGGTTTAGGGTTCAGGGTTTAGGGTTTAGGGTTTAGGGTTTAGGGTTTAGGATTTAGGGTTTAGGGTTTAGGGTTCCGTGTTCCAGGCAGCGCCAAGAAGACCAGGGTCCCCAAAACGCTGTGTCCAGCAAACCTCAGGAACCCAAAGCCCGAAGCCCTAACCCCTCAAAGCTTCCAACAAGTAAACTAGCCCTAAACCCTAAACCCTAAACCCTAAACCCTAAACCCTAAACCCTAACCCTAAACCCTAAACCCTAAACCCTAAACCCTAAACCCTAAACCCACCGCGCTGACATGCCAGGAAACCGCGAGGCTGCGCTGTGCAAGCGCCGAAGGATCCAGGACCGAAGGGCAAGAACGGCCTTCATCTTGACTGAAGGGTTTAGGGTTTAGGGTTTGGGGTTTGGGGTTTGGGGTTTAGGGTTTAGGGTTTAGGGGAAATTGGAACCCCTTTTTTGGGGGTCCCTTGGTGTAGCAGGCTATTTTGGGAAATGAATGGTTTAGGGTTGATAGGGTTTGGGGTTTGGAGTTTAGGGCTTGGGGTTTCGGTCTCTAGGGTTTCGAGAGATTGGGGGTTTATGGTTTATGGGCACGGAGTTTAGGATTTTGCGTTTAGGCTGTAGTTTGCGTTCAGAATTCAAGGCAGTTAAGGTGCTAAACGCTACCTACGTTTCTGGAGCTCCTCCATCCCAAAGCCCTAAACCTTAAACCTTAAACCCTAAACCCTAAATCCTAAACCCTAAACCCTAAACCCCAAACCCTAAACCCTAAACCCTAAACCCTAAACCCTAAACCCAAACCCCAACCCCAAACCCCAAACCCTGTCCCAGAGCAGGAGTCCATGCAGCAAGGATGAGGCCCAGACGGGTTTAGGGTTTAGGGTTGAGGTTTAGGGTTTAGGGTTTGGGGTTTAGGGTTTAGGGTTTGGGGTTTAGGGTTTAGGGGAGTGTTCAAAACGTGGGAAATCCATTGTGGTAGCCCCAGTGCTCAAAACGGCCATTGCGGACCAGAGTTTTAGGGTGTAGGGTTTAGGGTTCAGGGTTTAGGGTTTAGGGTTTGGGCTTAGTTTCCCGTATAGTTCGCCGTCCTCTACCCAAAACCATGAAACTCTAAATCCAAGCCCCCAAATCCCAAACCTGAGGCTCTAAACCAAACCCTCAGCATTGGGCACGTAAGCTAAGATGCCCAATGGTTGCTTGTGTCTTGGGTTGGGAGTGCTTCTTGTCCCTTGTAGGGCCCTTGTGATGTTTGGGGTTAGGAGTTTAGGGTCTCAGATTGAAAGCCCTGAACAGTTTAAGCGCGAAAACCCACACCCTGCAAGCCTGGTTGGGCGTATCTTCACACTGCGGCGTCGTGTCCTCTAAGTGTGTTGCAGCAAGCTTGTCAGTACGCTTGTCAGTTGGAGTACTTTGCTTATGCAGCGATGGACCACCAGGGGTTTAGGGTTTTGGGTTAGGCTTGTGGGTTTTAGGCTTTCTTGCAGCGATGGACTAGTCTCAGCTCCATCAGGGTCCGGCCCCGTTAAAATTTGGCGTCTGACGATGAGGAAGGATGCTCGTCGCAAAAGGTTGGATCGTCGCGACCGCGAACTCCTACGTTTCTGCTTGGACGCCATTGTTGCTTGCATCTGCTTCGGGGGGGGGGGGGGGCTTCTTCTTGACGGTCATCATGAACACGGACCCACGCGATGAGCGTTTGCACGTGCTGCTGTGCTGGGTGCGTCGTTGTTTTGGTACTGGGCGTGCTGGCTCTCGTACCGGCCAACTTTCCTTTTCCTACCAATTGCTTAAGAACCACCAAAAATTCGAATATTCTTCCTTATGAGCGTAAAAAGGGGATTATTATTTCATATTTTTAGGGGGTTGTTAAGCAAATAGTAGTTTCTGTTGAGGGCTGTGCCAGGTCGCCTTCCATGAGCAGATAAACCTGTTTCGCATATTCGCCCCGCGCTGAAAACGAGGGTCGAGTTGCCTGGTTGGTTTGTTCATTTGCCAAGCGCGTGTATCTGATTGGTCACAAGCTTGCATGCGTCCGTAAGCCCAAACCCTGAACCCCAGACCCCAAGCCCCCAAGCCCCAAGCCCCAAGCCCCAAACCCCAAACCCCAAACCCCAAACCCCAAACCCCAAACCCTAAACCCTAAACCCTAAACCCCAAACCCTAAACCCTAAACCCTAGACCGCCACAGTTTCAGCTTCAACGGGGTCCACATGTCACTTTAGCTGAAGGAACGCTCCGCTTTCAGCAGTGTCCTGCCCAGGACGCTGGGAGCCGGACGCGCCAGGGCCCTACTGAGTTATGGGTTTAGGGTTTAGGGTTTAGGGTTTAGGGTTTAGGGTTTAGGGTTTAGGGTACTGAGTTATGGTGTCCTTACCTTGGGACGACATGAACCCTAAAATTGGTGTCATAAACCCTATACTACAACAATTCCTAGTCGGGTATACGGGCCATAAACCCTTTTAGGGCTCATTTGGTCCCCAAGGTATAAGGGAGGGGATTCCACGGTTGGTATGTAACCCAAGGTTCCGCAATACTCCCCAAACCCTAAACCCAAAACCCTAAACCCTAAACCCTAGACCCCCCTCCCTTAAGGACCCTATAACCGAGCCTTCCCACAGTTTGCTCGAGAGTTCCTTCTTTGTTTGGTCGGTTGCCCGAGGGTTGCTGCTCTGCGTAGAACAGACATTTTGGCTCAAACGGTTTGATGCTCCGATGCTCTGGATGCCGCTGCTCTGGATGGCGGCGACCAGGACGACGATGACGATGACGACGTGCATTGGCGACGCGACGACCCGACAACGACTGCGGCAGCAGCGACCAAGACGGCGACGGTGGTGACGGCAGCACTCGAGCTTGAGTCTGCGGGGCACAGGCAGTGGCGACGACCGACAGCATCCGCGCCGGCGGCAGCGGCGGCAGCGGCGGCAGCGACGGCAGCGACACATACCGTGCGCAGACAGGTGCGCTTGCTTGGCCGCCGACACCGAATGATTGGGACAGCAAGGATGGGAGTGAGTGAGGACAAGCGTGGGGATAGTGAGGATAGGGGTAGCGGAGTGACCGACGGTGGTGATGATGGAAGCGGCGACGACGATGGCGGTGAGGATAGCGAGGACACAATGGATAATGTGGGTGTCGCCACAATCCTACCTCCTGAAGAGTACGTGTTCTACAGGTGCGTAGTTGCTCACTCTTGACATCGCTATTTACCGGGGGAGTTGCATCCTCAGGGGGCTGTTTGTGGAATTTTCGCAAGGGGCTCTTGCCAGTCCGATGCTGTTGTAATGTATGGGATGCAACAGAGACATGCCCTCAGCTGCTTATCGTAGTAGAGGGCATAGGATCCCCATATTTAGGGCTTTTTCGGTCCTCCAGCTATCCAAAACCCCAAACCCCAAACCCCACAGCCTAAACCCCAAAATCTATAAGCCCTATAAGCCTAAACCCTAAATTATAAACCCTAAACCCTAAACCCTAAACCCGAAGCTGTTCCTGCGTGCCATGAGGCAGCCACAGCAGCCAGAACTGAAGCGTGCGGTCTTGTTTGAGCAGCAAGTGCCATGGGGGCAAGGTTTAGGCTGCAGGGTTTAGGGTTTCGGGTTTAGGGTTTAGGGTTTGGGGTTCAGGGTTTAGGGTTTAGGGGTTACAGTATGGAATCTTCCGTCGCAGTCAGAGATGTTCGCATGAACGTCTGGCACCACCACCTCGCCGGGCGTCAAACAACAACAGCGGCAGCAGCAGAAACAACAGCAGCGACACAGCGACGACGACCACGACCACGACCACGACTACGACCACGACCACGACCACGACCACGACCACGACGACGACGACGACGACGACGACGACGACGACGACGACGACCACGGCCACGGCCACGGCAACGGCAACGGCCACGACCCCGACCAACGTCCACGACCGCCACAATAAACACAAGCATTGTCTACTAAAACAACAATGCTAGCAAGAGGGCTTCTATAACACTATTGCCAGAATTTTGAACATAAAACGGTTCATCGAGTGATAGTCGTCGTCACGTTTGGGGCTTTAAGAGGGGTCATAGGCCCTCCCCTTATGCTATAAAAGTTCCCTGGATATTATTATGTTACAGGGCTATCATAAGATTTAGGGTTGAGGGTTTGGGGATTTTTCAAGGGGAGCTGAAGTAGGATTAGGGCCGTTTTTCCGATGCCCTGCGTGGCACTTGTCGGCTGTCCAATGTACGGGCGACGGGAAGAGCTCAAACTTTCAGACTCTGCTTCGTAATATAGGGGTCGGAATAACTAAAAAACTGGTATTCCCTTATGGTAAAACAAAACCCAACACCCAAAACCCTAAACCCTAAACCCTAAACCCTAAACTCCATTCCACATATTATGGCCCCTGTATTGGAGCTGTAGCCGGCGTGGAGAGGCCCGCTTGAGGAGAGATGCACGCTGCGCGGCTTTCTTGTAACCTACGAGTCCTAGAACCTTAGCCCTCTAAACCCTGAACCCGAAACCCTAAACCCCAAACCCCAAACCCCAAACCCTAAACCCCAAACCCTAAACCCTAAACCCTAACATCCACAACAAGGACTTGCGGCACGCTTCTTAGACTAGGGGGTGCCTGTCTCAAGGCAGCTGCTGATCCTCGGAGGGCGCAAAGGAGTGTAGGCGAAGAGGGTTTTGAAGGTTTTTTGGGTTCAGGGTTTATGTAAGTTGAGGGTTTATATAAGTTGAGGGTTTTTTGGTTTAGTGTTTATATAATTAAGTTTTGTGTAAGTTGAGGGTTTTATGTAAGTTGAGGGTGTAAGTTGAGGGTTTGTATAAGTTGAGGGTTTTTTGGTTTAGTGTTTATATAAGTTGAGGGTTTGGGGGGTTTAGGGTGAATAGCGTTGCAGGGTGTATAGGGTCAATAGGGTTAGTGGGGTTAAAAGGGTTCACAGGGTTGACAGGTTTAGTAGGGTTAACAGGGCTAGTGGAGCTAGGAGGGTGAAAAGGGTTCAAAGGGTTAAAAGGGTTCAAAGGGTCAAAAGGGTTAAAAGGATCATTTGAGAGGGTTAATACGTTAATCCTAAACCCTAAACCCTAAACCCTAAACCCTAAACCCTAAAAGGGTTGAGGGAGCTCCCAAGCTTGCTGCGCAGTAGGCGACCGAGAACCAGGCACAGCAGCTCGCGACACCAAGACCCCGCACCGGAGAGATCTTCAAGTGCGAGAAAAAAGGAATCGGACCTATATAGTGCATATTACCTAGGGTTTTGGGGTTTAGGGTTTAGGGTTTAGGGTTTAGGGTTTAGGGTTTAGGGTTTAGGGGTTTAGGGGTTTAGGGGTTTAGGGTTTAGGGTTTAGGGGTTTAAGGGTTTAGGGGTTTAATGGTTTAATGGTTTAGGGGTTTAGGGTTCAGGGTTTACCTGTCTTTGGGTTGCGCGTTTCCTGCTCTAAGACGGCCTTGCTACCATGAGCCCTCTTTCCATATCATTGCTTGATGCTTACGCACGATCACTGAAGCTAATGAACTCTAACTCCATGTCCTCAAGACCCGAATCCAAGTTAAGAACCCTAAGCCCTAAACCCTGAGCCCTAAACCCTAAACCCTAAACCCTGAGCCCTAAACCCTAAACCCTATATCCTATAAACCCTAAACCCTACAGTAAACCCTTTTGGGGTTTTCGATCCCCAAGCCAGGAAATCCTACGCAGTAGCGTCCGAGCTGAAAAGTTGGCCCGGGTCGTGTTTGACTCGGCTCAGGGGACACTACATATAGTCCTCAACCCTAAAACCCTGATTTCATTCTAGGAACCCCAAACTTTTGGGGCTTTTGGGGTTTTAGGGGTTTTGGGGGCTTGTGGGCTTTGAGTTTTTGGCATTTTGTTCTTTTGGGCTTTTGGGGCTCAGGGTTCATTTGGGGCAGCTTTGGAGGCGCCCGGCTCCCCTGGCCCAGAGACGTAAGCCCGAAAGTCCGGAACTATATGAAGCAGGGTTTCTATTTCTATTTTTGGTGAGTGTATATTAAGGTTCCTTTTTAAAATTGGTGAGTGTATACATTGGGTGTCCTGTTGGGGGTACAAGAAATATATACCCTGCTTCATGTCCTATTTGGGTTTGGGGCTGATGATAAGGGTTTAAGGGTGTAAGGGTTGGAGGCTTTCTGGGCATAAGGGTCTAAGCGTGTAGGGCGGGGTTTGATGATGGGTAATTGGAGTGAAGATCTGGTAGGCCAGTACGGTAGGATCCTGGGAGGCGAACCGAAGTCACTAAGCACCCTAGCCCCCTAAATCCTGAATCCTAAGCCCTAAACCCTAAACCCTAGTCCTTCCGTGTGTGTTTAGATGTGGGGTTTCCCAAGACAGGGGTGATGACACCGTTTTGGGGTTCCTAGAATCACGATTGTAGCACCTCGCGCACATATTTGGGGTAGCCCTTTTCTGGGAAGATCCCCTAAGACCTAAGCCCTAAGCCCTAAACCCTAAACCCTAAACCCTAAACCCTAAACCCTAAACCCTAAACCCTAAACCCTAAACCCTACAGTAGAGTGATGTTAGTGTGCATATCATGCAGCCTGCGGCCTCCTCAGGCTTTGAGCCAATCTCCTGCTGAACCCCTGCCAAAAAGCCCGAAACTCTAAGCCCTGAGCTCTAAACTCTACCACTGAAGTCCGAAACCCTAAAGTCCTAAAGCCCTAGACTCCAAAAGTCCACAGCCCTAAACCCTAAACCCTAAATCCCAAACCCTAAACCCTAAACCCTAAACCCTAAACCCTAAACCCTAAACCCTAAACCCTAAACCCTAAACCCCAAACCCCAAACCCTAAACCCTAAACCCTAAACCCCAAGCCTCACCATGCGAGCCTTCGGCATTCTGGCCGCACAGGGGGCTGGCGCCTTGGCTGGCGAGGCACCTCGGCTCTTGCGGGTTTAGGGTTTAGGGTTTAGGGTTTAGGGTTTAGGGTTTAGGGTTTAGGGTTTAGGGTTTAGGGTTTAGGGTTTAGGGTTTAGGGTTTAGGGTCTAATTAGGGTTTAGGGCTTAGGGTCAGCAAATCCCTGCACCTGATGGACGCCAGCGAAAGCTTGGACCTTGAAAAGAAAGAGCGGGCAAGCAAACAAGATGGCAGTTCGGGCACTCCCCCGTTCAATGGATAGAACACGGGCTTCGGAAAGCTGGGTCTTGATCCTTGTGGGCGCGCTTTGAGAGGTTCAGGTTTTAGGTTTTAGGGTTTAGGATTTAGGGTTTGGGGTTTAGGGTTTGGGGTGTAGGGTTTAGGGTATAGGGTATAGGGTATAGGGTTGAATAATTAGGGTTTGGGGTGTAGGGTTTAGGTTTTAGGGTCTAGGGTTTAGGGTTGGGCGTATCCCCATGTAAATCGTTGCGTGGTGGTAAGGGCGTTCCGTGGGAGAACTGCAACAAACCCTGCTACAGCCTCAGTCGCTTGCCCTGAAGGGTTTCATCACATCATACCTTAATTCAGAACCCTAAGCCCCAAGCCCTTAACCCTTAACCCTTAACCCTTAACCCTTAACCCTAAACCCTAAACCCCAAACCTTAAACCCTAAACCCTCAACCCTAAACCCTAAACCCCAAACCCCAAACCCCAAACCCTAAACCTGAACCCTAAACCCTACACACAGACAAGCCCGACTTTTTGCCAACGTCCGTCGAAGGCCCTAAGCCTAACCCACGTATTCATCTTAGGGTTTAGTTTTTATAGGGTTTCTGAAGTATGGGCCCTTGGCTTTTACAGGGTCTATAAAGAGGCACTCCCCAAGAAAAGCCTAAACCCTAAACCCTAAACCCTCCGAGTTTTCGGCCCCAAGAACCAAGGCCTTCACTTGGCCAAACCAGCCTCCCTCGGACATCCCCTTCGAGCGCAGCGAGCTTTTCACCGAGGCTGCTTCAAAAAACCCCGCAGGGAGCGTCGAAACCTCGGATTCTAGGGGTTTAGGGTTTAGGGTTTAGGGTTAGGCTATTAGGGTTTAGGGTTTAGGGTTTAGGGAAATCTTGGGTGCTTTGCAGTTTTCTTCTGCAGGCCCTTGTGTGGAGTCGGAAATTGCCAGGGGCCAGGAAGGTTCACAAATCCAGCTTCTCCCCACCCCCAACCTCCTGAATCCTCAGCTTCTAAAGCTTGGTAGCTCAGTGGTACCCTGTTCCCTCTTTTTTCGTTCAAGGTTGCCTTGTAAAGTAACTAATCCAAAAAAGGGTACCCTTATTAGAATTGGTTACTGGGCTACCAAGAAAGCCGACATCCCTAGGGTTTAGGGTTTTGGGGTTTGGGTTTATTTAGGGTTCTGGGGTTTGGGTTTAGGGTTCAGGATTTTGGTAGGGTTATCCCGAGAAGCACCCGAATTCATAAGACCCTGAGAAGCCCCAAACCCCAAACTCATACACCCCTAAACCCTAACCCCCAAACCCCAAACTCACACACCCCCAAAGCCCCCTGAGTCCCAACCCCCCGAACCCCAAACCCCAAATTCCTACACCTCACAACCAGGAATCCCCAACAGGTACATTTCACCGGCCGATACGCGGAATACGGCGGGGCTGAGACTTGGTGTGGTCAAGGGGACCCTCAGACCAGCCCGATCCTCTCTACAAGCTGGGGCTTGGGGCTGACGGGGTCTAGGGTTTAGGGTTTAGGGTTTAGGGTTTAGGGTTTAGGGCTATGGGCTTTGTAAGGCTGACAGGGCTTATAAGGGTTTAGGGGGTAATGGTTGAATAGGCTGCTATTCATGCAGGTTTTAGCGGATGCGTTCAGGGGGGGTTCGGGTACTAGGTTCTGCTGCCTTATAAACTGAAGCTGGCGATATGTGACGCGACGCCAGTAGCAAGCTGAGCGGGCTCGCAGCTCAAAATGCGACGTTTCATGTCCCAACTGCAGTTGAGCACACAGAGTTAGCAGGCCCTCGTCCCCAGAAGGGCCTCCCTGTACGGGCTCTCCATTGTAAGCAGCCGAAAGACTAGGATTGGAAGTGGGGGGATCCTTTCTGCCATTAAAATCTCTGCAGAATTCATGCTGGAATTGGTTACTTTTTGCCCAAATCCTGGGCTACTCCCTAAACCCTAAACCCTAAACCCCAAACCCCAAACCCTAAACCCTAATCCATTTCCAAGGGCCCTCTACTGTGGCCCCCGCCATAAAAGGCGTGAGGTGTTGCCCTAAGGCGCCCGGTTGCAACCCAGGACCCTCCTTAAACGCCGGGAAAACTCGAGACGGTAAAAGTCGTCAAGCCCTAAGCCCAAAACCCTAAACTATAAACCGTAGACCCTAAACCATCCTAAGCCCCAAACCCTGTTGGTGAGGACACTTGGTACCCCAGCTGGGGCGCCGACGGGAACCTCTACACACCCTGGACGGATGGCGTCGTGGGCGGCATCCGTTCACACAGCGCCTGCTCAGGAGGGGGAGTTGTTAAGGTTTAGGGTTTAGGGTTTAGGGTCTAGGGTCTAGGGTTTAGGGTTTAGGGTTTAGGGTTTAGGGTTTAGGGTTTAGGGTTTAGGGTTCAGGGAATCTGAATCATAAGGTCGCATAAATAAAGAGCCATAAGCCCTAAACCCTAAACCCTATAAACCCTATCCCCTGAATATCAACCGTATGCTGGCTCTCTGGAGGGCCTTCCTGCACGTCCACCACGGGCTTCGCCAAAGTTGTCGGAGATGATCCTTTCAACTTGAGTATCCAGGACCGGGGCTGTCTTTACTGAATGGTTATAGCGGCACTATTCGGTTTAGGGTTTAGGGTTTAGGGTTTTACTGTTTAGGCCTGACTTAACTTGGGGGGATTAGGCAGAGCTGCGATTTTTAAATTTTTATCCAGTACACCCCCAAAACTAAGCCTCATAAATACCCCTAAGCCCGGCACCCTCAACGCTAAACCCTAAACCCTGCGTTACCGCCCAGGGGGCAAGCTGCCATCGAATCCCAAACATCAAAATTCGGCAGCCCTAAACCCTCAACCCTAAACTCTAACCGACCCCGATGGCCCTGGAGGACGTCGGCGTTTTCGAGTCTTCCACCTCACCGCACCTCGCCCAGCAAGCCCTGAACCCTGAACCGTAAATCCTAAGGTACAGTTAGGGTGTGGGTTTAGGGTTTAGGGTTCAGGGTTTCAGGTTTCAGGGTTCAGGGTGTTTCTTGTCCGTACTCCCACGGTGCTACTGGACCCCTCGATACAGGGGCCACATGCTTGCGATGGAACAAATCCCAAAGAAGCAGGGCTCGTGTTCCATGATTCCGCACTTAACACCTTGATACCTCCATCAAGACTTAAGCTCCGAGCTTAGAGGCTTGGGGTCTTGGGCTGATAAGGGTATGGGATATCCAGAACCACCGAAGCAGTCGAAGCTCCAGGTACCATGGCCGATACCCCAGTGCTTCGCTGCACCACAACGGCATCTGGTACTACGGAACCTATGCCTTGGACAACGAGACCCGGCAAAGACTGCCCTGCACCCCACTCCCCCGACCCACAAGCAGAATGAAGAATTCGAGCCATGGCAGAGGCATCTGACTGAATCCCTAAACCCTACACCCGAAACCATAAAACCCTAAACCCCTAAGTGGGGGGTTTACGATACTAGGGGACTAGGGGTACCTTATTGGGGTCCTTATGATAAGGGGATCCTACGTTTAAGTGTCCCGTGTTTTCGTAAACCCCCCATATAGAGAAAGGTAGGGCTCCGATTTTGCTCCAATCTCAGCTTTCATGGGCTTTCCGGATTACCTCCACAAGTTTTTCCTGCCAGAGGAGCCAAACGTGGCGCCTATCCCACACCCCTAACACCCCGAAGACTATGCACTGAAGAGCGCTAGACTGAGACCCCTAAACCCTCAAGCACAAGCCCTGACCTTGGACCCTAAATTCTAGAAACCCTATGACCTCTATATGCCCCATAGGCCATATAAACCCTATACACCCCCGGGCCGAAAGTTTCGACCCAAAGCACATGTTGGACAACATGCAGACGGTGCAAACTTGCGCGGAGTCGCGGAGTGCCGAGAAGTCGCGTTTTCACTGCGCCTGCTAGCGGAGAAATTACTTCCCCGTTTTAAAAAAACTATAGAAGTTCCGGAGGAGTCCCCCAGGTTCGCCTGTGTTTCCGGAGTCTATGAGGAAAAGGGCGTGGGCACAGGAGTACGGGCTCCGAGTAGTCGGTGGATCGAGCTATCGGCCCGGCGCAGTATACCCTAGAAACCCCAGGACCCTAAACCCTAAACCCTAAACCCCTAAACCCCTAAACACATGAGTTACATGCCCTATAAGCCCTATAAGCCTTATAAACCCTAGAGCAAGGAGAACCACGAACCGGGTGAGCGCAGTGGCCAGGAGGTGCGCTGGGGGCGGGCCGATCAAAGGTTTTTCGGGGGTTTGATGGGTTTAGGGTTTCTAGGGTTTCTAGGGTGTCTAGGGTGTCTAGGGTTTCTAGGGTTTCTAGGGTTTCTAGGGTTTCTAGGGTTTCTAGGGTTTCTAGGGTTTCTAGGGTTTCTAGGGTTTCTAGGGTTTCTAGGGTTTAGGGGTGATGATTGGACTCCAGGGACTCAAAAAGATTCTCAAGCCCTAAACCCAGGGTTTGGGGCTCAACCCACGCCTGGCAGGTGAAGCACCGAATCCCTTCAGCAACCAAAATCGGGTTTAGGGTTCAGGGTTTAGGGTTTGGGGTTCAGGGTTTAGGGTTTAGGGTTTAGTGGGTTCAGGGTTTAGGGTATAGGGGCCTTACCTTGCCAAGTGGAATGATCAAAGGCGCCCAACTATCAGTGAAGCCGCTGTCTCTTCTTCACGTCACGTGCATCCAATGCACATGAAACCTACAGACACCCCCGTGTTTATGCTTAACCCGCTACATATCCTCCACTTAAGAAGCGCTCAAGACTCCGAGTCTATCCCTCAGCTCAAACCTCACCCTAGCCCTAAACCATACCAGCTAGAGCATAGTTGCCCTGAACCCTAGGCTCCACTCCCTGAACCCTCAACCCGAAACCCTAAACTCCTTGTCCTAGAACCCAGACCCTAAAATTTCCCCGAACCCTTCAACTCGAAACCCTAAACCCTAAACCCTAAACCCTAAACCCTAAACCCTAAACCCTAAACCCTAAACCCTAAACCCTCTCCCCCTGAACTCCAGGTGGGCAGGTCCCACACCGCGGACTACTGCGGCAACTGGTGCATCCCAGCAGCGCATGACTTGGGAGCCCAGTGGTACCCTTTACCCTTTTTGTTGTTCTGCATCTAAGGGTTTAGGGTTTAGGGTTTAGGGTTTAGGGTTTAGGGGTTCAGGGGCTGAGGGGTTTAGGGGTTTAGGGGTGTAGGGGTTTAGGGGTTTAGGGTTCAGGGGTTTACGGTTTAGGGGTTTAGGGTTTAGGGTAAAACGTTATGGGGTGCAGGGTTTGCTGGTCAGAAGCGAAGAGCATTTTTCTTGGTCTAAGGTACCCCCCAAATGGCGGCACTGATTCAGAGCAGCTCCCTCGACCCTGAACCCCAAGCCCTAACCTACCTCTACACCCCCGCCTTAAAACCTTATAGACCCCGAACCCCTAAACCCTAAACCGTAAACTCTAATGGTTGGCCGCGCGCGCTTCTTTGCTTTCGCGCACGACTTGCTGCGATCGCATTTCTACAGCCAAGACGTTTATTTTCGTTCGGAAAGTGTTTTTGCATTTGTTTGTGAAACATCGCTGAAACCATGTTAGCTATGGATCATATGGGAAGTTCAAAAATCAAGGGGAGGGGAAGGCGTCGCGCACGAGTTGCTGCGATCGCGTTTCTACACCAATTTTGTCATGTTCGTTCGGAAAGTGTTTTTTGCAAGCGTTCGTTGAACAAAAACTTTGAAACTAAGTTAGCTAAGGAGCGTGTGGGGAGAACCATTCGACAAACCCTAAACTCTAATCCCTAAAACAAAGCCCGAAACCCTAAACCCTAAACCCTAAACCCTAAACCCGCCCTACACCCTACACCCTACACCCTAAACCAAAACCCGAAACAGTGGGAAAACCCAGGTATCCAAGGGCCTTTCGTCGGTTTCCGCTGGAGTCGGGATGCCGGAAAGACGTGGCAGGAGCAGCCTGAAGGGCAGGGGAGTACTGCGAACAGCATGAGTTTAGGGCTTATAGGGTTTAGATATGGTTAGGTAGGGTTTTATAGAGGGTTTATTAATTGTAGAGTTTGTAGACGTTCCCATGTTCTTGAAGTACTCAAGGCAGCGTTGTTAATACGTGTTGCAGGGTGAGCTAGATTCTATGGATCAGGGTAGTCAATGAGGTCAGTTTTTCTGGAGGGTCCCTAAACCTTAAACCCTCACCCGAAACCCTAAACTTTGGCGGTGGGGGCGGGGAGGGGCCGCTTCTATCCTTCCTGTTTCTTCTAGTGAAATCGGCTCCTCTACGCCCCCTCCGCTGCACTTGGAGGTCGCGAAGGTTGTTTCACACTGGACGGCTGGAAACAGCCTGGGTGATTCCAGCTCCTAAGCTTCAAAGCCCTAAACCCTAAGCCTAAACCCTAGAACCCGTATAAAACCCTAAAACCCTAAAACCCTAAACCCCTAAAACCCTAGACCCCAAAACCCCAAATCCCCAAAACCCTAAAACCCTAAAACCCTAAAACCCTAAAACCCTAAAGCCCTAAAGCCCTAAAACCCTAAAACCCTGAAACCCTAAAACCCTAAAACCCTAAAACCCCAAAGCCCTAAAGCCCTGAAACCCTAAATCCCTCAAACCCTAAATCTAAATCTGAAGTCCAGAAGAAGTCGACCTTAAGCCCCCAGGAGCCACGCAAGACTTTGGCAAACTACTCGGACACCCTCTTCGGTGAGGCCGGAAGGTAAGGGTTTAGGGTTTAGGGTTTAGTGGTTAGGGGTTGAGGGTTTGGGGTTTAGGGTTTAGGGTTTATTTAGGGTTTAGGGTTTAGGGAACGGCAGCAGAAGTGAGGCTTGGGGTTTTGGGGCTGAGGGTTGTGGCTTGCTGCCCGAGTCACCCCTCCAGAGAGGCGAGTGAATCAACGGACTGGGGGGGGGGGGCGCTAATAATTATGAGGTTAGCATTACGCCTGAAGCCCGCACCTTAAACCCGTACCAGGATGGGCTATAATGCCCTCTAACCCCTTAAAAGGCTCTTCTTCGTGTTCATTATGGGGATTATAAGGCCCATCCTGGTACCCTAAAACTTGGAGGGAGCGCGACCAATCACAGCCTTATCTGTGCACAGCCAAAAAATGTGAATCTACGGCTCAAGGGTTCGAGGCCCCTTTGCCCCACATAATTGTCAGGCCAATCAGGCAGAATAATAACTTCAAATTAAGATGGTGTTTAGCCTTCGGGGGAAGGGGGGATTACGTGCAGCTATATTTAGGTTGCACCAGAATACAGCTGCTGTTGGTGTTGGGCTGCTGTTGGTGTTGGGCGGGGTGGGGTTTTAGGGGTTTAGGCAAGGGGACTCCTATTAAGGTGCATGAACCACAATTTCTTGAGGGTTCATTTTGGGGGCTTCCGAAAATGAGGGGACCCCTGATATAGACCCGGAAATAGAAGGCTTCCCTTGCAATAAAGACCCCGATAAGGTACCCCCAAATTCCGGACACCCGCATTTGACCCTGATGTAGAGAACTAAACCCTAAACCCTAAACCCTAAACCCTAAACCCTAAACCCTAAACCCCTACAGCGTTGAGGCTTCGCAGTGGTTTAGGCCGTCGCCGCACCTGAAGAGGGGTTTAGGGTTTAGGGACGTTAGGGACTTGAAGGGTTTAGGGGTTTTAGGGTTTAGGGTTTAGGGTTCGGGGGCTTCGGCTTCAGGGTTCAGTGTTCAGGGTTCAGGGTTCAGGGTTCAGGGTTTAGGGTTTAGGGTTTAGGGTTTAGGGTTTAGGGTTTAGGGTTTAGGGTTTAGGGGCCTGTGGTGCCCAGGCGGCGCCCAACAACCACAGCAAGGCGGGATCCCCCGCGGCAGACTTCCTTCAAACGGGGAGTTCAGGGTCGAGGGTCTAGGGTTTAGGATTCAGGGCAGAACATCCAAGCTTAGCCTTAAGCGCCCGAAGCCGAAATATGCCCATCTCGTACGGACCTCCTAGTTATAAGGCGGCCGCCATCATTTTTAGGGTAGTTACATGGTCGCTTCATATGGGCCCTTAAACGGGGACCCTTATATACCCGACACATTTTAATCGAGGTAAGGGACCATATCAAGGCTTCTGCTTTAAACTTTCAGCTGTTAACCTCACGCTTGCGAAGCCTTTGCCCTGAACCCTAAAGCCGAAACCCTTTCTCTACAGCGATCGTTAGCTTAGGAGATGTGTTGTATATGTTCATTATGTAAGACCCAAGCGCATGCTTTAGAGGCATTATGTTCAATATGCCCTGAACCCTATAAACTCTAAACTCCATGAATTGTTGCAGTCAGTCCCTCTAGTTTCCTCTTTGAAGTCAGTTCAGGGGGCTGCCGGCGACAGTGGCTCAGAGAAAGAAGCCAGCAATCACAGGTCTGGGGTGCAGGGCTTAGGGCGTTTTAGGGCTTCGGGGTTTTAGGGTTTAGGGCTTTTTAGGGTTTGGGGCATAGGGCTCAGAATCAGGACCGGTGCTTGTGGGATCCTGAGTGGAGTTTGTAAGACCCTACACCCTATCAGCCCATCACAAGCCCCATGAATTCCAGGTCTATACGCCTTGTAAACCCTGTATCACGGATGCAACATAAGCCTCAAGCTCTCTAGAAGTTAATGCAGCATGACAATCCACGCTAGTGGTAATAAATGCAGGTATCTTGTAATCATGAAAACCCTAGAAACGTCGTAAACCGTAAGCCCTAAGCCCTAAACCAAAACCCGAAACCCGAATCCCGAATCCCGAGCCCCGAATCCCCGAAACCCCGAAACCCCGAAACCCCAAGCAAGCTCAACCATACACAAAGCCCTTCAAAGCGGGTGCAGGTGAAGTTCGGGGCGCCGCAACCGGGCCCTGGCCAGTTTAGGGTTTAGGGCTACGTATTATGAGTGCCATCCGGGGAGTTCTAAGCCTAAACCCTAAGCCCTAAACCCTAGACCCTAAACCCTAAACCCTAAACCCTAAATCCTAAACCCTTCACAAAGGAAGAGTTGATACACAGTAACTGGGTCCTCGGGTCTTGCACTGCCACGGTGCTTGTCTTTTTTCGCATGAGACGTAGATACCTTCAGGGTTTAGGGTTCTAGTCTGATACATTCAGGGTTTAGGGTTTAGGGTTTAGGGTTTAGGGTTTAGGGTTCAGGGTTTAGGGTTTAGGGTTATTAGGGTTTAGGGTTTCCCGAATGCATGGTTTGACAGCAACAGAAGGCACTGCACCAGAAGCTACTCAGCCGTGAGCAGATCTGCTCTGGGAAAAGCCTTGATGTTTTTTCGTCTAAGCGCAGGCCTGGCTTGAAGTATTCCATGACGTAAACCCTCAACCCCATGAACCGAGGCACGTGGTGGACTTGGGGCAAAATCTTGCACATGAGCCCTACGGCGGAGCAAAGCCACGGTGACCCGGTCGATTTTCGAAGCATTCGGGGACTGAGGATGGAAAGAGGACATTGTAGGGTTTGGGGTCTAGGGTTCAGGGTTTGGGTTTCGGGTTTGGGCTGTAGGGTTTAGGGTTCAGGGTCTTGCGTTTTGGGTTTTAGGTCGCTGCACAGGCAACTGCGTTTTCGGTTTCTCCTTCTCCTCGTGGGTCGCTTGCGGGCGCGAACCAACTTCCGGAGACCTGTTCGCGAACACCAGGCTGTACCGCACCCGCTACATCTTCGGGAAAGTTGGTAGAAACAGTAGTTCTCCCATGTGCCGAACTGTGTCTCAGCGAGATTTCTAGGATCATGTCGCAGTGGTCCCCCAAACCCTAAACACTAAACTCTGTAAACCCTAAACCTCCCCCCTAAACCCCAAACCCTGAACCCCAAGCTCTGAACCAGGGTTCTCGCTAAGGAGCTTGCGTTAAGTTTCCAGCACCGGGTTTTCTAGCAAAGAACTTGGGACCCTGAACCCGAAACCCTAGACCCGGCGACGTCTCAATGTAATAAGTGTCTTAACAAGAGCCCTAAACCCTAAACCCTAAAGTCTAAACACAAACCCCTAACCCTAAACCCCAAACCCTAAGCCCTAAACTCCAAGCCCTAAGCCCTAAACCCTAATCCCTAAACCCTACACCCTAAACCCTAAACCCTAAACCCTAAACCCTAAGCCACCCCGCAAGCAGGCTGTACATGGTGGGCCACGGGGCCTCCGCGCCCATCTCACCCACATCTTGGATGCAGGGCGCCGAGGTGTACCTGGCAAGGGCACCCTGTGAGCAACACCTTGTGGGGTTTAGGGTTTAGGGTTTAGGGTTTAGGGTGTAGGGTTTAGGGTTGAGGGTTTAGGGTGTAGGGGTTTGGGGTTTAGGGCTTGGGGTTAGGGTTTAGGGTTTGGGGCTTGGGGTCTTGGATTTAGGGTTTCCAGGACGAGCGGAGCTTACTTGTGATTGCAGGGGGCCTTCTGTGTCGGAAGTCTCTGCAAAGGGTCAAGAAGGCCCTTTCCAGCTGTAGCTGGGTTTCGGGGTACTATACTTGAGTACTTTTTTGGGCTCCGGGTTCCCATGATAGCTACTTATACCTAAAACAAGCATCTACTTTTTGTTTTTGCCAGGGTCTACTCCAAAGTAGGGGCAAGGGGGCTGTCCTTGGTGGGTTTGGGGTTTAGTAGTCAGCGCTTCGGGGCTGCTAAGGGTATGGGTTGTCAAGATACTCCCTCAAGCCTCAACCTCAAAACCCCGAGCAGCAGTGACCAGAGGTTAAGGCATTTTTGTTGCTTAGGGCTCAGGGGTTTAAGAAATACACATACTACTGTAAGGGCTCATTAACATCTTTATAGCGGTCAAGGGCGGATGATTCCAGTGTTTTCGCTTCCTCATAAATCTACCCTCTGCTAGGACGGGAGCTAGGTCTGCCCCTAGGTTTCTGAGTTCTGTCGCCGGTAAGTGTATCGAGGAGAGAGAGAGAGAGAGAGAGAGACAGAGAGACAGAGAGACAGAGTGACAGAGTGACGGAGAGACAGAGAGACAGAGAGACAGAGAGAAAATGTTAGAAACAAGCTACTTCCAAAATTCCCTAAATCCTCAACCCGAGACCTACCCCTCAGAAAACCCAACTGAGGTAAGTCCCAGTGTGGACAGCATCAATGATCTGGCGTCTTGGGAGTTCTATGGACGCTGGGTTGAAAAGGTTTAGGATTTAGGGTTTGGGGTTCGGGGTTTCGGGTTTAGGGTTTAGGGTTTGCACGTGTATTGGGTTTAGTGCTTTGGTTTGGGGTGTAGGGCTTGAATAAGGTTCCGGAAACCAAGAATCCGAGAACGAAGCCCTCACCCTAAACCCTAAACCCTCATCCCTAAACCCTAAACCCTAAACCCTAAACCCTCAACCCTAAACCAAAAACCCTAAACCCTAAACCCTAAACCCTAGACCCTAGACCCTAAACCCGAAACCCTAAACCCTAAACCCCCAGCCCCAGGGAACGGCTCTTGGCACCCGGGCGACGTGGCCCGAGCTGCGCCCCTGGTGTCGTGGGGCAACCGCACCGGCGTTACCACCATGACCTACATCCCAGCAGTGAAGAGGCGCGTTTAGGGTTTAGGGTTTAGGGTTTAGGGTTTAGGGTTTAGGGTTTAGGGTTCAGGGCTATTAGGGCCATTAGGGGCTACAAGGGCTTTTAGGGCTTAGAGGTTGGGTTAGAGGGTTGGCCAGAGAACGTCCCAACCTTTATTCCCAAATCCTGAACCCGTCGTGCAGGTGTTGAGGGCGGGTCGCTACTGTAGGGTGTTTGCGCGCTTGCCCGTGACGCCGTGGCCTCCTTTCATCCACGGCGTTTCGGTCCTGATCTTGGTCTTCCAGTCGATGAAATATTGCTCAGGTTGCAGACATGGTGGGGAGTTTGCACCAGGTCGACCTTGGAGGGCATAAAGATACCCCCTCTTCTACAGATTGCTTGGGGCCTAGTTAAGGCTCGGAAACAGTCCTGGGACTTCAGGAATCCCTCGCAAGTTGGGGGGCATGACAGGGCACCACTCTTTTTTTGGCTACGTGAAGTGGGTTGGGCTCGGGATCTGTTGCGCTTAGGAAATGACTTGTGTCCAGCGACTGCCAGGTACATCATGTGCGTTTCTACTCCGACCTTCAGCCCATTTACGACGAGGCAGTTTGACACTTACTTTCTGGAGAGTGCCAACATCACAGGGCCTTTCCGCTACATCAGCTACCTGCGGGAGACTCTGCCTTACCATTGTGCGCATGGGTGCGAAACCCTAAAAATGCCAGGTCCTGAATCCCATAAACGCTCCTCTTGTTGGTGGATTGGTGGCTCAGGGTGTAGGTGCAGGCGCCTCAACCCTAGACACTGAACCTTAAGTAGTTCTCTTGGCCCTAAACCCCTAAACCCTAAACCCTAAACCCTAAACCCTAAACCCTAAACCCTAAACCCTCTCAACCTGGGCTCAGGAGTTTGGACCCCAAGCCTATTTTGTGAACATTCCCAGCAAGTTCGTGGCAGCCTCAACTGGTTCGGATGGCTCCTTGCGCCTCTTCCTGAACCTCGGCAGAAGAGGGGGTTTCTGGAAGTTAAGATACAAGGTTTAGGATTTAGGGGCCAGGTTTAGGGTTTAGGGTTTAGGGTTTAGGGCGTGGGTATCCTTTTCAAGGATTATATTCTGTTTCGGGCTCTCCAGGGGGGCCCAATTCTTTGCAAAGTCCCAAGTAGGCCCAGAAGGGTAAGGCGGTGTTTGTTTCCGGGCCTTTGGTGGTTAATCGGGGTTCAGGGTTTTCAGGGCCCAACTAAGATCAGGAGTTCAGGGACAGCCAGTTATTTCGCCCCCCCCCCCCCCCCCCCCTCAAAACTGCAGCGTCTGCTCCCTCATAAGTCTTGTGTAGTTAACCTTCCCACCGCCAACTTGCGCAGCCTCTCGCGATGGGGCCATTATGCCCTGCAATCTCATTAAAAGGTGCCTTGGGGCTGATTGAAATGAAGTACCCTACACCCTGACCCCTCTAAACGCCGAACCTTAGTCCCTAAACCATAAAAATGACATCTTGGTTGTGTTGTTGCAGGGTTGCCCTGCTTCAGGTTTTCTCCAGCTTCGTTTATGGTGTGAAAGTCCGCGGTTTTCACTGGTTGCGGTTCACTGGGTCTTTTGGACTTATAGATCCTAAACCCTAAACCCTAAACCATAAACCCTAAACCCTAAACCTCCCCAGCTCCTTAGGAGCTACTCTGCCAACTTCGCATACCATGGACAGCCAGCACCTGCGGGGAGCGGCTACCACTGGACGCGCCCGGGGCACAATTCAACTTGGGGTTTAGGGTTTAGGGTTTAGGGTTTAGGGTCTAGGGTTTGGGGTTTAGGGTTTAGGGTTTAGGGTTTAGGGTTCAGGGAGATGAGATGAAAATACAGTAGTCATAGTGACAACCCAACCCTGAGTCTTCAAGCACTGAGCCCCGTAGCCCTATAGGGTTTTGAGGTTTAGAGGTCAGGGTCTAGGGCTTTAGCACTAAGCCTCGCAACACTAAAGGCACTAGGGATTAGGGTCTATGAACCCTAGACCCCAGACCCTCAACCCTAGTCAGTTTCGTCGCGCATGGTAACCCCCCCCCCCCCCCCCCCCCCCCCCCCCCCCCCCAATGTGCCTACAATCCAAAAACTTAAACCTAAAATGCCATGTGGTTTTTTTAACTTTTAAACCCTAAAGCCCTAAACGCTATAAGACTCTAACCTTAAGTCCTAAAGTCTTAAACCCTAAGAAGATTGAGACGTTCGCGAAGAGTCGAGGCTGCAAGAAGTGGAGCTGAGATTGGGCACGGCGCAGATCAACATCTGACCTCAACGCTTATGTTCTGTTTAAGGCTTATGTGGGTTAGCCTACATATTTTGGTCCATGCACGTTGGGTTCCTTGTAAGTTAGCATTGGAGACTGCATGTACTTTGGGTGTCCTCCATGGGCTCATAATAGAGTCTTGATGCCCTAAACCCTAAACCCTAAACCCTAAACCCTAAACCCTAAACCCTAAACCCTAAACCCTAAACCCTAAACCCTAAACCCCTAAACCCTAAACCCTAAACCCTAAAGGTGTGCTGAAGGCTCCTTGTTCTCGGTACCTGACCTGAGCCCCTGAATCCCAAACTCTCACAAATCGAGGGCCGCAGGCTCGGATTCTCCGAGGCTCAAAAAGCAGCGCGCTGCCGCATGCCGAAGCCCAGTGAGGTTTAGTTTAAGGTTCAGGGTTCAGGGTTCAGAGTTCAGGGTTTAGGGTTTTTTAGGGTTTAGGGTTTAGGGTTTTAGGGTTTAGGGTTTAGGGTGCCCCTTTTGCGTACCCCAACCTAGTGGCTCCGAGTTCTGATGGAGAGCCTGCAAGGGATCTTCGCTGAGTGACTCTACTAAAAAAGCATGTCTGCAATGTCTACAAGCTTAGAGACCGCATGAACCCCTGAGATTGACGTCACAGACCGTAGACTCCGTGTACTACTAGAATCCCCGTTGATGTATGGACCTTAAACCCTAAACCCTAAACCCTAAACCCTAAACCCTAAACCCTAAACCCTAAACCCCCTAAACCCTTGGTTCAGTTTGTCCCCTGAAGGAAGTCATGCCTCTCTCAGCGGATGTTTAGGGCGCTGGTTTCCCAAACGCTGCTCAGGCCCTCCTGAAAAAGACCCCCTGGAAACCCCGACATGGGAGTAAATGCTACATAATTTCCCAAGGGCGTACTGTACCTAACTTACCGAAGTATCTCAAGGGTGAGGGCTTGGTTGGGTTTTTTGGATGATCATTCAACATATTTCAACAGCATCGGTATATGATTGTCGTACATTACATATCTTCCCCATGTTCATGTCTTAAGAAGCCCCGCAGATAAGGAAGCTCACACTTGATCTGGCCCACACCCCCCGGCCCCCAAGAAAAAGAACAAAAGCAGGCTTAGCTTGCTTATGAAGATTGGCCAGATAGGCCCTCAACCGCAGCGTTTCATTTCTGAGGTGCAAAAGTCTGCCTTCACGTGATGGAAGATATGCAGATAAACCCTCTACACCCTCTAAACCCATCGGTTTGGGGTGCACTCACAAATCTCTAGAATCCCAGAAACCTCACCCAACCCCAAAGCCATTAAGCCCTGAGCCCCTGCAAGACGCTGAAAGGGTGTATAGGGTTTAGGATTTAGGGTTTAGGGCTTTAGGGTTGAGAGCATTCATTTTGCACCCGGCGTCGAAGACGCCGGTCGCCCCGTCTCGCGGCGCTATGGGCGAGGGCCCAGAAATCGGAGCTGCGGTGCAGCTGACCGACGCGATCTTATCAGTGCTGGAGCAGATCCAGGTAGGGTCAGAAACTCTTTTTCAACGGCCTCTACAGCCTAAACCCCACAAGTTCCCGAAACTCCTACACTCCGACAATTGTGGGCCCCTAAACCCGAAGCCCCCGAAACCGGGAAACCCTGAACCTCAAGCCCAGAGGATACGGGGGGTAGGGATGCGCAGTTGAAGGTTTCTAGGATTTGTCGCGCCTTGTTCGCAGGGCTTGGGGCTTGGGGTTTAGGATTTAGGATGTAGGTTTTAGGGTTTAGTGTCCTATAGATATTCCCACTGTGTGAGTATTGCATTTAACATGTTGCTCATCTCATTTTTCTGGGATTCTTATAAGCTACTATACAGTGCTTAAAATTGCTTACAGGTTTCATAGGGTTTAGGGGTTCAAACTTTGGTTTAGGGTTGTTTCATCCTTGCCATGTCACAAACCTTCCCCATCCCTTGCGCCTTTAGGGTTTCAGGTCTCTGCTGTGTGTGTGAGATATGTGTATTCCTGAGACAGTATGTCAGATTATCTAAATTCCATTCCGGGATCATGTTCTTTAGGAAACATATTCATTGAACACAAATTACCCAAGAACAGCAATAACCCTAGACCCTAAAGCCTAAACCCCAAACCCTAAACCCTAAACTCTGACAAAGTCTGTTGCAAGGAACGCATTTAGGAAGATGAACGGTTAAGTTGGTGTGACTCTTTGGAAAAACCTGATCCCGATTGCGAAGCCTCTTGTCAATCCCCCTATGCTACCTCCATGCTGAGGGTTTAGGGTTTAGGGTTTAGGGTTTAGGGTGTAGGGTTTAGGGTTTAGGGTTTAGAGCCACAAGACATCCGAGTCTCAAACCCTATAAGCTCTGCAGTATCAACCATATAAGCTCCATGATGAGCCCTCTAAACCCCGGTATAAACCCTAAACCCGAAACCCTACACTACCCTACTATCAACCCTAAAGTCACGTTCATACACCCTGTACTATCCAATTTCAACCCTACAAACAACCTTAGAATCCCATTGACAAGCTCCCACCCCAGACTCCTGACCCTCAAACCCCAATGTAGACCCGATCATGCAAATGCGCATTCTATACCGTCTACAGAACACTAAACCCAACCCCAAACCCCAAGCCCCAAACCCCAAACCCCAAACCCTAAACCCTAAACCCTAAACCCTAAACACTTTGCAGTCCTGAAACTGCAAAGCCCCCGAACCCATGGCCCGGAGGCTTCGCCAGAGAGTGCGAACACGTGGCTGGGACCAGAGAACTCCGAAGAGATCCCCAGGGGGTTTAGGGTTTAGGGTTTAGGGTTTAGGGTTTAGGGTTTAGGGTTTAGGGTTTAGGGTTTAGGGTTTAGGGTTTAGGGTTTGGTGGTGTAGTGGTGTAGTGGTGTAGTGATGTAGTGGTTTCGTGGTTTCGTGGTTTAGTGGTTGCGCGGTTTCGCGGTTTAGTGGTTTTGTGGTTTAGTGGTTTAATGGTTTAGTGGTTTAGTGGTGTGTTTGGGGTTTTTGGTGAAGAGCCGTGGGCTTTGGGGCGCGGTTTTTTTGGTGTCTTCAACAGAGCGTGGCTCCAGAGAGAGGTTCGCCCAACTGGCTCCGTAAACCCTAAACCCTAAACCCCAAGCCCTAAGCCCTAAACCCTAAATAAACCCTGAGGCAGGGTGTCTGAGGTTTGGAGGCTGAGGGTTGTCGGGCAGTTGCTATTTATTTCGGGAGGCGAAGGAATTCATGTCAGAAGCGGAGTATGGCAGAAGCCGTTGACAGCCGAAGGGTTTAGGGTTTAGGGTGTAGGGTTTCCAGTTTAGGGTTTAGGGTTTAGGGTTTAGGGTTTAGGGTTTATTTAGGGTTTAGGGCTTAGGGGTTAGGGTTAAGGGCCACACAAACCATGTTGGGATTAAAGCTTCCCGACCTTCTTTTCAGGCCGACGGGAAAAAGCTGTACCACAGCTATGTAAGAAGTGTAGCAAGAACCGCAGTGCAAAGACCTAAAAATCATAAATATTGTTTTCTGCTAAGGCTACCCAGAATTCAGACCCATGCAATGTGGAATCGACCCCACGTACAACAGCCTCTATGCACCCAAAGCCAGAAACCCAAAACCCTAATCCGAAACCCTAAACCCTAAACCCCAGCCCTAATCCCTAAACCCTAAACCCTAAAAAGGCCTTCCGGGCCCCGCCACTCCCGTGCCAAGGAAGGTCCGTGCCTTCGGACGCCTCATCGAGGACCAGCGCTCTGCGCTGCACGCGCACGGCATCGCCTCCTTTGCCGACTTCCAGGATGGAAAGTGATGATTCAGGGTTTAGGGGTTCGGGTTTAGGGTTTAGGGTCGAGGGTTTAGGGTTCAGGATTTAGGGTTTAGGGGTTTAGGTTTAGGGTCGAGGGTTTAGGGTGTAGGCTTTAGGGTTTAGGCTTTCGTTTCCAGAAGAGTCCTGTAACTACAAAGTAGCTGGCAACAAAGGCAGCTTGGAGCGAAGGTCAGCTGAGCAGCTTGGCAACAGCTCAAGAGGGTTTAGGATACCAAGCAAAGCTGCTTTGGTGGTCTGTCCTGTTTTGTTATTCGCTGCTCTTTGCAAAGAATGCGAAACACAGGAGCCCATTCAAGAATGAGTAGTTTAGGATATTTATTCAGATTATGACCCAGGGATATCGATCGCAGGGTGAGAAATTGGTGGCTATGCAGACTAGTCCTTTTTTTGGGTCTTACCATAAACCCTAAACCCTAAACCCTCGGGCGCAACTCAGTTTCGCAAAGTGCGACGAACTGCGGGCGCTAAGGGATGAAGGTAGCCGCCCAAGATGGCCTTCAGCACTCCGCCACTAGGGTTTAGGGTTTAGGGTTTGGGGTTTAGGGTTCCGCTCTGCAACTTTGTATGTTGAGTTGAGAAAGTTAGGCTCAGGCTTATGGCAGAGTTTGTGGCTCAGGGCTCTGTTTTCCGTTTTGAGGCCAAGCCCCCGCCCCAAAAGGCACTTCCCTGTCTCTCAGCCCATCACATTCTCAGCCCTCAACCTCGAACATTACCTTGACCCTTAGTAGTAGCTTCCGTTTGTTGGGTGGGGGTGGGTCACCAAATATTGTAGCTCCATTCGGCAAAGAAAAGAATTAGGTACCTCCTGCTAGAATTCAGGGGCTGGGTAGCCTGGAGGGCCCCAAGCACTAAACCCTAAACCCTAATTCAGGGGTCTGGGTAGCCGGGAGGCTTCGGGTACACGGCCACGTGTCAGGAGCTGTGCAGCAATGCTGCCAGAAGTGAGGTGGGCCAGAAGGGTTTAGGGTTTATAGGGTTCAGGGTTTAGGGTTCAGGGTTTACGGCTTAGGGTTTAGGGTTTTCAGTTTGGAGTTTGGCGTCCCTGGGGGGGACGGAGAGGGGGGAGGGCCGGGGGTGCATCAAACATGGCAAGAATCCTGAACAAGCTGCGGAGCAACACACTAACAGGCTCTCGATTGCTTTTTCTTACGAATCTTAATTAGTCTGCTTTCAGTGCTGTTTGAGCTGTGTGTTCCATGCTCCCCAGACCCTAAACCCTAACTTTAAACTCTGAAAGCCTTATTTCAACCCTGAAGCACCAAACCCTAAACCAAGTCCTAAGTGAACCTTAAGCCCCAAAGGCCCCAAAGGGGCTGTGCAGGGTTTCGGCCGGGGGCCTTCCTTCTTGTCTTCATTTTTGTGATGGCAAAGTTTTAAAAGCAGGGTTGGCTGAGAATATATAAACTTGCTCTAATGTGTTATTTGCTATCCAGGGCCAGGAGCAGGGGGCAAATCACACTCAAATCAGAGAGGGGCGAACGGCTTGTGTGGTGGAAGGCCAAGCAGTCAGAGGAGTGCTTGTTGTGGACTGACAGGGAGCGCGACAAGGCTTCCCCATCGGCAACATTGAAGTCTTGCTCAGCTGCTACGAGAGCAGTGCTGGGGATATGATGTGAGATGATCCTGAAGGGCCCAAGTTTTTGACCTCCATCTTCAATCTTGGGTAGTTTCGGACGAGTTGAGTTCAGCCGTGAAGAATTGGAAGGTTGAGCATTTGCTCCCGACGCAGCTTGTACGGTGGTAGGGGCGCTGAGGCCTGTGTGTATGGGATGCTTGGGTGCAACTGCGCTGATGGCGTGCGACGTCGCCTAAGTGACGCAACCGTGTCAACCATCAATGTCACCAGAAACCTATAAACCCCATGCCATCAGCGCCAAGTAGAGGCGTTTCGTTCGCCTCCCGCGTCAAAAAGATGCTGCGGGGTGGGGGCGGTGGCCCCGACGGAAGAAATGGAGCCTCCAGCTGCAGCTCTCCAGGTCGTCCAAAGGTTCCAGCTGAACTCTCCAAAGACCGATCGAGATAAAGGGTTCGAGACCAAAGACCCTCCGGCACCTGGTGATCAAGGAGGCCACGGACCTTTGCGCATGTCGGTTGGTCACTTCATGCGCCGCCCCAGATTGTGAGGTTGTAGGCTTTATATATCTGTGAGTGGCACGCAGGGCTCAGAAAGACTTTCAGTGTCATGTTTCTGAAGCTGCAGTCCGCGAGCAGCTTCCGAGCTCGTGTGCCGCAAGGGTCCGGTTCTTATGATGTACCCACTAACTTCGAACCTGAAATCACGTAGCATGGTTCGTTGACTCCGCTCGCGTCCCATCGCACAAGGGTACCGAGAGACGCAAGGTGATCCTCACGCCAAGATCAGAAGTCGGCTTAGCTGTGGCTCGACAGCACCCAGCACCTCGCGCCCCTAAATCTCGATTCCCCGACCCCTCACCCCAAAGCCCGAGTGTAATAGGGTTTAGAGCCAAGGACGAAGTCTCGAATCCTGCTCCAACTTCAGGCCGGCGCTAACTGCAATTATACAGGACTTCGCGTTTGGGATGGCTGGCGTGGGAGTTTGGGCTGAATTGATGCCTTGGCTTTCGCAGTTCTCTTCTTGTCTGCGCGACATGGAGTAAACCCGTAAACCCCAAACCCAAAGCTGCTGTAAGCCTTCCACCCACTGAAGCCCAAATCCAATTGAATCCTGAGCCGGAGACAACACTCAACTATCAGTTCAAACCCAAGGACATGATAGCTAAAGGGAACCCTAGCCGCCTGGCGGCGGAGGCCCTCCTGGCGGTCCTGGCGGGGAATCGTCAGCCCCAGGCGGGCTTCATTTTCCCACACCTTTGGGCGTCCATTTTGCTCTGGAGTCTTTCGCAAGTGTAATCACCTATTGCCAGTATGCGCCCAGAGCTGAAAATCACGCGGACATACATCTTGTCTGGAACTCCCGACGCCAGGGCTGACGGAGGTGTGGATGCACAATCATGTCTTTTCAGATCTTGCAAGCGCAGACGGGCTATCATGTGAAATCAGCGAGACAGTCGCCAAGAAGCCCGCAGCGTGGCGCAAGGGGTACTCTGAAAAACCACGTTCCTGGGAGGACCCTGGTCCTGGTCCTGGGGACACGAACCCCGATGGGTGCACCAAAAGCATTGGTTCCAGACAGGCTCCCAGCACCAAAACGCGTCGTGCGCCAGAAGATCCGTGCCAATGCAACGCGAATGCATGCCAGGAAGAAGCAGCAGCTTGCCGCCTTGCGAACCGCCGCGGAGAAGTCATAAGATTTTTCGGGTTCCTCCAGCACTACCTTCATCGTCCTAATGTTTGCGACGGGCCCTACAAAACAGGTCGCAAACCATGCCCGCCCACCCATCCACCACGCTCCAAGCATGTAGCAATCGGCACCCTTCCAAGTTTCAGCAGTGTTTCGTCGAGATCTCTGGACCACCCGACGCGTGTTCGAGTTGAGATCTTACAGACCTACACGCGGAAGCAATTTTTTTAAAGACTGCACGAAGCCAGTCCGCGGAAGCGTCCGCGGATGCAAATGCAGCGGACACGCAGAAACAATACTCGCAGAAGGACCGCGGAAGGGTTCCTCATTTCATAGATATACTCGGCTCAAGTTTCACCCAGCCCCAGAAGAAGGTTCAGCTTGGCCCAGCGTTTCGATGCAAGCAAGGGTCACTAAGCGTCACTAAGCATGATGGTTGTCGAAAGTCTGCAACGATGTTTGCCATTGCCTACTACTCATCCTATGACAATGCGTGAGACTATTGGGGTGCAATTCTTTTCCTCTCGCAAACATGTCTGCATCATTTCGCCTGCTGTTCACATGAGTGCTGCTACAAGAAAAAGCATTCGACATTCCATACTTCTAAGCTTTGCTGGACGTTCAAAAAGCAGAACGCGTTCCAAAATGTTCAGTATGTTTTTGGCACGGGTGGGGGGGGGCGGGGGGGGGAAGAAAAGGCTATATCTTCTAGAGCCGTAAACCCCGGAAGTAGAAATTGTGGAATGTGGTATGCTGAACGTCAGAAGTGTGGCAGTGGCAACTACGAAATAAGGATTGCTGTGTCCCAACACTTACAGCATTGTCCAACGTGAGGTGGGGCCCTCAAGATCTGTGTCTTGGAGTGTAGCAAACGACTCAAAGCCTCTGGGAATATAAATATCTTAAAATGTTTCTCGGTATCTGAAATATCTGGAAGCACTATGAACACGCATGATCGGCGCAGTATGATTCATATGAAACAGTAATTATCCATGATGATAATGCAAACGCAAATAACAGCAACATCTTGCTTTACAGAAGTGTACCTACCTCTGTATACACATAATTTTTATTCATGTTGCAGGCTTTGCAATCGCTTCCGGGCTCACCACCACCTCCGTGTGTTGCAGCACTCTTCCATGCACCGACGAACATCTTGTTTGGTGATGCATTTGTCCCATACCTGTTAGATGCGGATATTCCGTTTCTTCTATACGCGCATGGGAGGACGGAGTCCGCCAGTCAGCATGAAAGATCACAAAAAAACCTATATATGCAAAATACCTGTATGACTGTTATTTTCGGAATACCAGTACGCAAAAGGTGCGTTGCTAGCAGATCAATAAAATCCACGTACTTTTCTTACCATACAATCTGAATACTTTAAAGCTATGGAAAAACAAACAAAGCTTACCCTCAACCCTCAACCCTACACTCTAAACTGCCCGAAACCCTCAACCCTAAACCATAAGCCCTAAACCCTAAACCCTCAACCCTAAACCCTCAACCCTAAACCCTAAACCCTACACAGATCCACGCGCGTCGATCAGATCCAGGCCCTGGAACGGCTCGCAGCCGCCGAGGCGGCTTGGCGCCAGACGCTGGGCTCCCTGGAGGTGGAGGCCAACCGCGAGGCGGTGGGTTTAGGGTTTAGGGTTTAGGGTTTAGGGTTTAGGGTTTAGGGTTTAGGGTTTAGGGTTTAGGGTTAGGCTTTCGGTTTTTCGTGGGGGGCTTGGGTTTATAGGGTTTGTAGCATCTGGAGTTTGGGGTGGGGGTTTGATGGGATTGTTTGGCTACCCCAACGTCAGATGATTCTCATGCCAGCCTCCGGCTTCAAACCCTCCGCCTAAACCCTATAAACCCTATAGACCCTATATACCCTACGAACCCTATCAACTCTATAAACCCTATAAACCCTACAAACCCTATAAACCCTATAAACCCTATAAACCCTATAAGCCCTATAAACCCTATAAACCCTATAAACCCTATAAACCCTATAAACCCCTATAAACCCTATAAACCCTATAAACCCTATAAACCCTATAAACCCTATAAACCCTATAAACCCTATAAACCCTATAAACCCTATAAGCCCTATAAGCCCTATAAACCCTATAAACCCTACAAACCCTATAAACCCTATAACCCCTATAAACCCCTATAAACCCTATAAACCCTATAAACCCTATAAACCCTATAAACCCTATAAACCCGAAGCCCTCAGCCCTGCACCGCAGTGTTCGGTGGTTGGGGATACTAAGGACGGCAAAGTGTGTGGATTTATTGAGTGGCTCTCAAGTTGTCAAGTTGCTAGGATATGTCATGATTTGTTTTTGGTTTAGGGGTTTAAGGCAGAGGGTGTGGTGTTGGGTTCGGGGGGGTCGGGGGGGGTTTGCCATGAGAGGCTCTTCTCCCCACCCTGACATGCTGACCGTATTCCAGGTTGAGATCAAAGCTACTCTAAACCCTAACCCCTAACCCTAGACCCTAAACCCTAAACCCTAAACCCTAAACCCTAAACCCTAAACCCTAAACCCTAAACCCTAAACCCTAAACCCTAAACCCTAAACCTAAACCCTAAACCCTAAACCCTAGAACCTGAACCCAGCCCCGATGGCAGGTGCAGCGGCAGCTTCAACCAGGCGATACCGCACCCGGCTTCGTCTTGCCGGAAAGAGGCAGCGGGGCCGAATCCCCAGATGCCCAGGAACCCGAAATTTCTTGGGGTTAGGGTTTAGGGTTTAGGGTTTAGGGTTTAGGGTTTGGGGTTTAGGGTTTAGGGTTTAGGGTTTAGGGTTTAGGAAGCCAACGCCCCTAAAAGGGTTAGAGCTTGCGCCCTGTAAACCCTGTAGTCTGTCACATCTATCCCATAAATTCTGCACACTACTCTTTTACGCCCACAAACCCAAAAAATCTCTCTCTATTAGCCCTATAAAACCCTGTAACCCGAAGCCCTATCCCTCAAAAACCTCGAAATGTCCCATGCAGCAGTTCTTAGGGTTCCAAGGCTTTGGATTTGGGGGCGGGCAAACCTCCGAGGCGTTCTCAAAGCTCGCAAAAGCGCCCCACATCTCTCAAGGACTAAGGAGGGGGACACCTTAGGGGAAAGGCTATATGAAGTCTTGTTTTGGGGTTATTTACGGGAAAAAGATTCAGGGTCCTCTCTAGGGGTCCCCCTTATGCCCCTTAAATCTCAGGAGGGAAGGAGCTCTCTTTGCATGACCTGCTGGACGCGCATCACAGGCCTTCCTGACCTTCGAGCGTTTGGGCTGCTGCCTTTGGGGTTTCGGGTTTAGGGCAAGACCCTAAACCCTAAACCCTAGACCCTAAACCCTACACCCTACACCCTAAACTCTAAACCCTAAACCCTAAACCCTAAACCCTAAACCCTAAACCCTAAACCCTAAACCCTAAACCCTAAACCCTAAACCCTAAACCCTAAACCCTACCTTTGGGGTTTCGGGTTAAAGGCCCTTGGGAGTTTGTGGTGCGATGCGACAGAGCTAAAAGGCCTGCGAATATCCCTTCATTGGGTTGCTATATAACAATAAATCCCCACTACTATACCCAGTAACCCCCTAAATCCCTAAACCCTAAACTTAGGAGTTAGACTTTGGGATTTGGTCTTGGGGGCTTGGGGTTTCGGTGTTTTGGCTGCCATGCCCTTCACCACACTGGTGAGCTTCTTTAGCAAGAAGCAGACCCTGGCAGGCCCTTCAGTCGGACATAAACAAATACAAATACAAACTCTACTTTTCAAAGGCCCCAAACCTGGAGTACCAACCAATGCGCACAGGGGCGTCCTCCTCATCTGGTTGCGCCACTATGGCTGACTTCCCTGTGCGCGCCCTCAGTGCGTGTTGGCAATGGGTTTTCGGCGAGTTTTCGGCCTTTACATCTCAAAGATGACGCAAACATAAGCTTTTAGTCCATGAATCCTTAAAATTGGGTGTAGGGTTGAGGGTTCAGGGTTCAGGGTTTAGGGTTTAGTAAGGCCAGGGTTTAGGGTTAAGATCACAACTGGATGTCTCCGCTCAAGCCCCGGGCGAGTATGTAAATATTGTTCCGTGCCGCCGTGTCACCCACCCCCACCCCCCACCCCCCTAAACCTAAACCCAAAAAACATAAAACCCTAGACCATAAAACCTGCAACCCTAAACAAACGTTTAAAACACTTACAAGCCTTCAAAACCATACGCAAAAAACCACAATGCCTTGAAAACCCGAAACCCCGAAACCCCGAAACCCTGAAACCCTAAAACCCTAAACCCCCTGAACCTAAGGCCTAAACCCTCAAACTCTAACCCATCCCACTCGGAATGCCAGCTGACCCCACACCGCCCAAGAATCAAGAGTTTACGAGCGATTCAACCCAACATCGACGCTGGGGCCTGTGTCCTCAGGACGCAACCACGTCGCCGCAGTTGCGGCGCACGCTGACGAGCTGCACAATCTGGGGGTTGCCGTCGCGGTGGACGCCTGCCTTCATGGGGTTAGGGTTTAGGGTTTAGGGTTTAGGGTCTAGGGTTTAGGTTTCAGGGTTTAGGGTTTAGGGTTGTTTAGGGTCATGGGCGTAACATTGAGGGTTGCAATTGAGGGCTTTAGGGCCATGGGGCTCAGGGCTTAGGGTCTCTGGGCTTGTGATGATCCACTGTAGGTCGGCTCATGGGCTCGTGCTTCTTATGCTGACCTTGGGGACCACACGAACCTTAAGAATTGGGGTCATATACCCTATACTACTATAATCCCATTAAGGTATATGAACCCTAACCCCAAACCCTAAACCCTAAACCACTGAACCCTAAACCCTAAACCCTAAGCCCCAAACCCTTTTAGGGTTCATTTGGTCCTTTAGGGATTCGTCTGCAGTTTTCAAGCCCTAGGTGAGCTTCTGCCCGGATGCCCCGACAGCGAAGCGTTGGGACGAGGAGCTCTGTGAGCATTTCAACCGGAAAGGCTGGTAGACCCTCCTACCCCGAAACCCGAAGCCCTAAGCCCTAACCCTTAACCCTAAGCCCTAAGCCCTAAGCCTTAAGCCCCAAACCAAAGACCTTCAGGGTTGTGTGGGGTTTGGGTTAAGTCCAGGGCATGTAGCAGGCCGGGGGCGCTAAACCCTAAACCTTACACGCTAAATAGCAAGCCGATCTCTTTGTGACAAATATGTATATATATATATAATATGTCTATCTTACAGTTTCTGTTTGTACATCTCTTCTTGATTTGTTAATGCAGCGCAGAGCTGCATAGACGGTTCAACAAGCATTTGCGGAATGCAGCACAGGACAACAAGCAATCACACACACGATGCAGAGGCCTTGTACAGTATGGTTCATATGCCGCAATGAATACTGACCAGTTTTTGCAGTATCTTGCTTCAGACCCGAGAGCATCGTCACCACCGAAACCTGAACCCAAGTTCTGCAAGGAAGTGGGTTCGCCCTTCTTGCATCTGCTGGACCCCGCCACACCGGGCGTTCCTGGTGATGCTGGTGAAGCCTACCTGTGAGAGACTGAGCAGTGTGGTCGAGCGGGCGTATAAACCCTAAACCCGAAACCCTAAACTCCCAAGCTACTGTAGAACCTGGGCAGTTCTCTAACTCTTGCCTGCCCTAAAATCAAGGCTCCGGATTCTAGATAGAAGCCGCAAGAGGTTTAGGGTGTGGGGTGAACCTAGGTGTCAAAGTGAAGAAGTGAAGGTCCGATCCCAGGTGCGAATCTTGTTTCGCCGGCCGATGTTCAAGGCACAGGAGTTCTTTGCTTTGTGCGAGGAAAACGAGCGGTAGGGGTGTGCGCAGTGTCGTACCACCCCCTTGGTCGACACTGGTAGCGGAGCCTCGTGCTCCAGAACCTTTGTGCTATGGCAGAAGCCGACCCGTGGGCGGCAGGAGGAGACCCTTGGGTCCAGCCGGCCCGCGAAGCCGCAGACTTGGGTGAGGATGGACCTCCCCCTTTAGAGCCCATGCCGGATGCCTCTGGCAAAGAGCAACTTCGTCAACCCGACGTTCTTCAGAGTGATGAGCCAGTGGCCGGCATGCCTGTGCCGACTTTTGCGTCGTCGAGACCCAATCCTTCGGGGGCTGATTCGTGGGGCGAAGCAGCTGGGGGAGAGGATTGGCGCCGTCGCCGACAACCTCGTGAAGAAGGTAGTGAAGACACTGAGCCCAGCAACCACAGTGGAAGTGATGTCCGCAGTGGCCCCTTCAGTCGACATGCCTCCTGGGGATCGGGAGGGACTACGCAGCCGTCGTGGCGCGGATGGGATGAGTGGCGCGCTTGGGATAGCGGGTCATGGCGTCGCAGCGACTGGCGACGCGGCGATGGTGGTGGCTGGTACAACTGGCGCGACGTTGAGGCCCGGGGCGGCGAGCCGACTTCGAGACCTACTACCACCGCGGCGGGCGCGGCGAGAACTTCGAGCCCTACTACATCGGCGGCGGGCGCGGACGCGGCGGCCAGAACTTCGATGCCTTCTACCACCGCTGCCGAACAGAGGCCTGATCCCAGGACTACCGCATCTTGGCGTCCGAGCACAGGGGCGAACTCGGAGATCCGCAAGCCGAACAACACCGCCGGGACAACCTCCTCGCCCGGGGCCCTCGCGACGAACATGGACGAGAAGGCACCTGGCGGCGCCCGCGTGCCCGGGCCCTCAGAGAGATTGATCATCCCCACTTTCGCCGGGTCCGGGGAGAACGGGGAGCTCGGGGTGTCAGCCAGGAGCTATCTTTGACAGGTGGCAGCGTGGGAGAAGATGACGAAACTGGCACCCAGCCAACGAGCTTTGGTGCTTTACCAGCACCTCGAAGGCGCTGCTTGGGTTAACGCCGAAGCCCTCGACGTCGAGCGCCTCGGCGAGAACGATGGCGTGGAGTACCTCAAGGATTGGATACGCCAGCACTACCTGGACGTGGAGGTCACCCTGGTGGGGCGATCTTTGAGCGACCTGTTTCGGAAGCTGAAGCGACGCCAGGCCCAGACGTTCCGGGACTATGTGGCCGAGTTCAACCGCATGCTGGCGAGGGTCGTGGAGTGCGGCTGTGTACTTCCAGATGTGGCGACGGCGTGGCTGTTCGTGGACCGGGCGGCGTTGGACGAGGGCACCGAGGTGAGCCTCCTGGCGAGCGTGGGGAATCGCTACGACCTCCGCCAACTTCAGCAAGCTGCCATCATCCTGGACCGGTCCATGCTTCCTGGGAACCGTGGGCAATCTGTCCACCTGACTGAGGACGGCCAGGACATCCCGGAGGACGAGGACGACACCTTTGACGCGCCCGAGGGAGACTCGCTGAGCTGCGACAACGCCGACCTCTATGTCAGCTACATGACGGCGAAGGCCCGCTACAAGGACTCCGCGAAAGGTCGTGGCATCGACGTAGAAGCGGTGAAGCGAACCGCCGAGGAGCGCATCCGCCTAGCCAAGCAGAAAAGCCACTGCGCGGCGTGCGGACAAAAGGGGCACTGGCACCGTGACCCCACGTGCCCGAAGCGAAAGGGGGACAGCGGCAATGGCATCCATGGCAGCTCGGGGGGCGAGAAGGGAAAACCTCACACCATCCACGTCACCAACGAGATCTTCGAACTTCGTGTCCGAGAAGAAGAAGGGCTGATGGCAATCACCGACACGGCTTGCTCGAAGAGTGTCATGGGTGCGAACTGGCTCCAGCGCTACATCGACTTCATGCGCCCTACCGGCTACAAGGTCGAGTTCGTGTACGAGACCGAGAGTTTTCGCTTTGGGGCGAGCCGGGTCTATGAGTCCAGCTATGCCGCCATTATCATCTTCCGCCTGGGCGAGTTCTGGGTGGCCGCCAAGGCAGCGGTCGTGAATGGAGAAGTTCCCCTACTCCTCTCCAGGGGGGCTCTTGGCACGCTTGGCATGGTCTTGGACGTGGCCCGCAACGTGGCCGACTTCTCGGCAGTGGAGGTGAAGGGCTTTTCCTTGCTGAACACCGCCGGGGGACATCCCGCAGTAGCGATTTCGGTCCAAGGCCACAGCCTGCCGAATCTTTCTCTGCTACCCTCAACGTGGGGCGCCAAGGAGATTTACTTGTGGGAGAACCGCGTGGCATACATGGTCACCAGTGTTGGTTCTTGCGATGAGGTTGAGGGTCGTGAAGGTTCTGGATTAGGTCCAAGTACTGCTAGGATATTCTTCGAGAAGAAGATAGATGCGGCCGTGAGGGGGATGTTGACAGCCGACACACTGAATTCTAGCGCCTTCATCGCCTGGTGGACCTCTACCCCGATATCGAACGATTTCTGGATAGAAGAGCCCAACCGCCTCATCCGTGTGCACGTCGTACCCCGGAAAACCTTCTTTGACCCCCGTAAGTGGCAGACCCAACAGTCCCTCCAGAAGCACATGCTCCTCCGGGCCTTGGGTGACATTCGGGAAACCTGGGGAGTGTCATGCAGCACGCAACGAGCTCTGAGCACCATTGGCGATCTGTGGCAAGCTAACCCCGATGGCAACTACCCGACTCTGTGGGTCGGTCGCAGCATTTTCAGCCGAGCGAGCGACCTGCCTGCCCGAGACCTTTTTCGGCATGAGCCAGGGCTATCTCGCGCCATGGAAGATGAATCGCGCGGAACTCCTCTCCGAGTGCAGTCGCCGGGGGATCGCCGTCAGTCCGACTTGGACGGTGATCGAACTTCGTCATGTGCTGGCAACCGACAACAGGACCGAGAAGAAGACGATCAAGGGCCTCTCCTCGATGAAGCTGGACGAGCTGCGGGCCGAGGCGGAGCGCATCGGGATGGACTACACGGAGCGAGACACGAAGGGAGCCCTGATGCTTCGGATCCGCGACACCGTGGCGCCAGATCAGACGATCCTGTCGCTGGGACGCTTCAAGGGGACGCCGTACTGCATGGTCCCGGACAACTACGGCGACTGGGCGTCCGAGGAGGAGAGGGAGAACGGGGCCAACATGCATGTGGACCTGAAGAGGTTTGTTGTGTGGAGGAGGGCAACGCGTGCTTCAACGGGGGCAACCTACACCGGGATGGGCAGCGACATGGACCCGGAGACCAATGCCCTCGTGACGCCACCCCCGATATCGGAAACGGGGGCCTCCTGGAGCGTGGTGGATGGAACACTGCCTGTGACGCCCCACACGCGCGGGACATCCTCACGGACATTGGCAACAGCGGCCACGCCGAAGAGCACAGCGATGCGGCGCACCCGGGAGGAGGACGGCCCCATGGGTATGAAGCAGGAAGCGGACCCACAGGTCCTGGCCGAGGTCGAGAACCTCCAAACCCGCCTTGCAGTGCTACGAGATGCTCATGGACTATGACAGAGGATGACGGCGGGGACGAGGAGAACGACGGCGACGTGTCTGAGTCTCCTGAGTATGACATGACCGAGGTGATGGACGAGATCCCCGTGGCATCTGGAACGAGACCGCAAAGCATAGTGGCGCCGCACGGGACGCCCACTGAGCCCCTTGCTGAGCACAACGAGCACTACGAGTCCTGTCAGTCCGAGACGGACGAAGGGATCAACGACACTCACGACAGCGAGGACGTGGTGAGCGGAACCGAGGTGAGCGCCTATCTTGCTGGGAATGGAGGGCACGACGAGGATTTCGCCGAGACCTTCGCCCGGGAGGCGCGCATTGACGAGAACTTCTCCTATGGCATGCTCGAGGACGTCCTGAACAAGTATGACCTTGCTGGAAAGAGATTGCGCCGTGAGAGGGTGCATGGGAGCGGGGCTAATAGGAGCATGAGTCGGACTATCCTGGGGCACTACAACTATGCCACGAACCGAGGCATCACCCGCAACTCCCTGAAGTACCCGAACCTCGTCCGGTACCTGAACGCTTTCATCCACGACAAGTGGGGGGCTCTGTCGGACAGACCACTCTCATGGAGTTCGCTTGCCCTACTGCACAACGTAAGCTCCAGCATGCATGTTGACGCTCACAACTTACCCGGCAGCGAAAACGGGGTGGTCAGCGTCGGGAACCACGTGCAGGGCGGGCTCTGGGTGGAGGAATCAGGAGGTGGAGTTTGGCGGCAACGACCCAATGGGGAGCCGGTCGAGGGCATCATCCTGGACACCAACAAGAAATTCGCCGTGTTCGACCCCAAGAAGCACCACGCCGGAGAGCCATGGAAAGGGAACAAATGGACACTCGTCGCCTACACCACCCGCAGCATCAACGAGATATCCCCCTCCGAGAGGAACTTTCTAGTCAAGCAGGGGTTCCCGGTGCCTTCTAAGCGCGAGGTACAGATGATCAAGGAGGAGGGTCACAAGAAGGCCACGGGCGCTGCCGGCGCTAAGCCTTTCCCTCGGCGCAGTGTGCGAAAAGGCTTGTGGCGGAAGGCGGCTTCCTTGAGCGTCTTTCTGAGCACGCTCGCCTCCGTCATCAGCGGTGGACATGGTCTTCCCGAGGTGATCAAAACCGATTCGACAACAAGGGCGGCGCTGTTGGAGATTGGTGGCGTCGATGTGACGTGCTTGGCAGCGGAATGCATCGGCAATGACTTCCACGTCGCAGAACCTCTTCTTTGGGAGGACACTGTCACATCGTGCACAAGAGGCAGTACCTCAAACCCGGGCCTTGAGATCGCGGAGGTGCTCGAACGAGAACGTCCTGGAGAAGTGTGGGTGCATGTGACCGACGCGCTGCCGCCGGACTTCCTGGACGTCGTTTCTGCGACCGCTCGGGATCAGGTCACTCGGGGCGCAGCGGTTGTGCTTCAGAACGAAACCACGAATGAAGCGAAATGGGCGAGACTGCGAGACTCGATCAACAGCGAGGGCTACGTGGTCGACGACATCACCGAAGAGGATGGTGTGGAAACCTTGCGGATAGTGAAGGGCGAGGACATGAGCGTCTTCGTCGCGGAGCATGGCGCAACCGGCGGGGCCGACGAGGACGAGTACCGTGGCGGTCGTGGGATTTCTTTTCCGAAGGGGACGCCTAGCCACATTGCGACAGGGCTACGGCGTTTGCACCAAAACCTCGGACATCCCAGTGCTGCCGATTTCGTCCGACATCTTCGTCTTGCCGGAGCAGGAGCAGAGACACTGAAGGCCGCAAAGGGATTGTCATGCACTACCTGCACACGATGTCGTGCACCAGCGATCGCGAAGCCCGCCAAGCTCGGCAACATCATGAACTTCAACCAGGCCGTCGGGGTCGACCTACTGTATGTGCACGACACGAAGGGGAAGAAACACGAGATGTTGTCAATGATAGACTTCTCCTCGGCATACCATGTTGTGGTTCCCGTTCCCCGAAAGAACGCCGGAGCACTCGAAAGGGCTTACTGTGATGCATGGCTCAACGTGTTCGGGGCGCCGTCAACACTTGTGGTCGACCTGGAGAACGGGCTGCAGAAGGCACTGGCGAAGGTGAGCGATTGGACTGGCACGCGCATCAGGAACATAGCCGGCCAGGCACACTGGCAGGCTGGCTTCACCGAACGTCAGGGCGGAGTATGGAAGGCGATCTTTCATCGTGTCTGCGAGGATCTCAGCATCGATGGTGATGACGTTCGCATCGCCGTGGCAGCCACCTCCAATGCGAAGAACGAGCTTCGCCGCCTTAATGGTTTCTCGCCTACACAACATGTGTTCGGGTCGTCTCCAAAGTGTCCGGAGGACCTGCTCGATGGCCCGCATGCACAAGATCCCGAGGACATTGTCATCGTTCAGGACAAGCATGCTCGAGAAGTGGCGATCCGAACAGCGGCGCGGGCTGCTTTTCATCATGTACAAACCGATGATCGTGTCCGACGAGCCCTACATGGACGAGCACGAGTACAAGCGCGACCTCCTGAAGTCGGAGAACAAGTGTTCTTCTTCCGGAAGCTGAAGAATGCCAAGCGAGGGGAATGGCGGGGACCGGCCACCGTCATCGGTGTCGAACATGGCAACTACTGGGTGTCAAGAGCAGGAAGATGTCTCCTATGTGCACCAGAACACCTTCGCGTTGCAACCGGGGAAGAGCTTGGGGAGGCATTCAGCCTACGAACCGCTCGAGAAGAGCTCGAAAAGCTCCTGGAGGGCGACTACGACGACCCCGAGAATTTCGCACCCGACGACACCGATGAGGACGTTGGACCCCTCCTTGACGAGATGGAATGGACCGGTGAAGATCACGGAGACGACAAGGAGGGAATCGACCTCGACAACGAAGATGAACAGGAAGGTGGTCACCGGGGGTATCGCCGTGATCGGGAACCTGAAGCAAACCCCGCGGTCTCGAAGCGGATGCGCCAGAAGGGACCTCCCCGACAAGACGTGGGCATTCATGGCGTGCACATGCTACGAAAGGCAAAGACTGCCCGGTCGAGAGAAAAACAGTTGGAGAAAGAGATCCCCTGGGCGATGATCCCGGAGGAAAAACGTCCCGAATTCCATCGTGCCGAACAAAAACAGTGGGGCGAACACCTTTCTCACGAGGCGATCCAAGTCTTGACCTTGGAGGAGAGTGAGGAGGTGATCAAGCGGGTGGATCCAAGTCGGATCCTCCCCTCCCGTTACGCCTACAAGGACAAAAATTTCGGGAGGCGCCGGGCTGGGAAGACGGAGGAATGGAAAGCAAAGGCGCGGCTAGTTATAGCCGGACACCTTGACCCGGACCTCCTCGACAAGGGCCTCGTCACCGATTCTCCTACAGTCTCACGGGCTGCCCTGATCATGCTGTTGCAGATCTGCGTGTCGCGTGGATGGCATGCAGCCGCAGGAGACATCCAAGCAGCTTTTCTCAACGGCCTGGCAATCAAGAGGGAGCTTTACATGCGCCAACCGCGCGGCGGGGTGCCTGGCCTGCACCCGCAACAACTGGTGCGTGTCCTCAAGGGCATATTCGGCCTTACCGAATCGCCGCGTATGTGGTACGACAGGCTTCGCCAGGTCCTCCTCGGGCACGTGTTCTATGTTGGAGACAAACCTTGCAGACTGGCTCAATGCCCGCTGGACGCTTGTGTGTTCTTTCTCCAGGAAGATGGCAAGGAGGAACCCCTCGGATACGTGGCGGTCCACGTCGACGACGTCATCCTGATTGCCCCATCCGAGGTGAACCTGATGCTGCAGGAGGAGCTCAGTAAGTTGTTCCCGGTGGACGGGTGGGAAAACAACTTCTTCGATTACATCGGGTCCCACGTCGCGGTCGAGGAGAACGAGATCACCATCACGCAGACCGGGTTCGTGGATGGGCGCCTCTTCTCGATACCCATCGAAAAGGGACAAGAAGGTCAGGAGCCAGCAACAGAGGAACAAGCCATCGACAACCGATCCCTCGTCGGGGCACTTTCGTGGCTTGCTTGTCAGAGTCGGCCTGACCTACAGTGCGGAGTGGCTTTAGCTCAACAACTGCAGAAAGCCCCTCTCGTGGACGACATCCGCTTCACGAATTCCCTCGCCAAGAAGGCCGAGAACCACAAGAACGAGGGCATAGTGCTTCGGAAGGTGAGCCTCGACGACGCGGTCTTCGTCGTCTTCCATGACGCTGCCTGGGCCAACGCCGTCGACGACGAGGAAGAGGCGTGGTACCGTCTGACACCCGAGGAGAATGAGCAGGGGACTATGAAGGAGGGTCCCTACGCAGGCGGACGAGTTCGAAAGGCAAAGCGGTCCCGCTCGTGCGTGGCCTCCCAGATTGGACAAGTGATCATGATGGCCCCGTCCGGAATCCTGAGGGGTGAACATGTGAAGCCAAGCCTGCTTGAGTGGAGGAGCCAGGCATGCAAGCGGGTGTGTCGGAGCACCTTCGGAGCAGAGACGATGTCATGCGCAGAAGGCATGGAGGGCGGGCAGTTCATCCGAGCACTCTTCGCGACCCTGGTCTGTGGGCATTTGGTCCGCCTGGATGGTGCCCGCCAGAAATGGCCGCTCGTGTGCTTCTCCGACTGCAAGTCGCTACATGATCACCTCCATCGCACTGGACCCCCTCGTGTGGCAGCCGATCGGAGGCTAGCCATCGATCTCGCTGCAATCAGACAAGAACTACGCTTGGAGCAATGGGGGGAAAGAGTGCCGCTCCAATGGGTGCCAACAGCCGCGCAGATGGCAGATCCCCTCACGAAGCCCATGAAGTGCGACACCTGGTGGGAGATGATCCGCAAAGGGATAAAGCTTCCTTTTAAGCCTGGGACCTTTTCGAGCCTCGACACTTGGAAGGGACGATGTTCCATACCAGTGTCAAAGTGAAGAAGTGAAGGTCCGATCCCAGGTGCGAATCTTGTTTCGCCGGCCGATGTTCAAGGCACAGGAGTTCTTTGCTTTGTGCGAGGAAAACGAGCGGTAGGGGTGTGCGCAGTGTCGTACCACCCCCTTGGTCGACACTAGGGTTTAGGGTTTAGGGTTTAGGGTTTAGGGTTTAGGGTTTAGGGTAAATTCTGCTGAACCGTAAACCCAGATGATCCGCGATTCCATAGGCTATATAAAGCTTGAGACTGAAAGTCCTGTGCATCGAACTCTACACCCTTGTAAGCCCCATGGGTTTAGGGTTTTGCAGCTTCAACCCCGTAGACCACCGAAACCAGCCATTCGCCCTAGCCACCTCAGCCGTAAACCATGCCTAAACCCTAAACCCTAAACCCTAAACCCTAAACCCTCAAGGTCATGGGGCTTCCCGAAGTCCTTTGCCGGGGTGTGGTCGCCAGAGTCACTCCGCTTCTACAGCGACCAGAAGCTGAAAGGGAACGAGTTGCCACTGGCCTGACGTAGGGTTTAGGGTTTTGGGTTTGGGTTTTGGGGTTTAGGGTTTAGGGTTTAGGGTTTAGAGTTTAGGGGTATTGGGGTCGGAATAATTACTAATCGTATTTCCTTAGCATCCCTGTGTAGTTATATCATAATACCCCCAAAACCCTATTTCAATGGGGGGGGTGGGGGGGGGGACAGCAAGGGCACCCTGAGTTTTTCCGGAAAAACATGCCCCTTCCAGGGGTTTCTTCGCTTTGGTCTCTTTTTGTGGGTTTAGGGTTTAGGGTTTAGGGTTTAGGGTTTAGGGTTTAGGGTTTAGGGTTTAGGGTTTAGGGTTTAGGGTTTAGGGTTGCCAGTTCCAAACTGAGTTTTACGAGCCCTTCCTGCGGTGCACACATGGCCCTGTAGATAAGAGCTGTTCTATGGCCTGTACCGCTGCGGGTTCAGTGGTTCATGTAGGATTTAGGGGTTAGGGTTTGGGGTTTAGGGTTCCTACTGCAAGCCGAGGCACTCCCCGAACGGACAGGATTTGCACCGCATGGGCGGCGACATTGTTTTGGATGGCAATGGCCAGGCCCCCAAGCCTGACACAAGCCAACCTATAAACCCTAAACCCTATATACCCTTAACCCGAAACCCGAAACCCTAAACCCTAAGCCCTAAACCCTAAACCCTAAACCCTAAACCCTAAACCCTAAACCCTAAACCCTAAACCCTAAACCCTAAACCCTAAACCCTAAACCCTAAACCCTAAACCCTAAACCCTAAACCCAAGCTCCAGAAACCTTAACCTTAAACCCTCCGTGGTGTAAGCCTTCTCAAATCATCGGCGCCTTTACGCTTCCTAGATCGGCTTGCAAAGCTGCCCCTGAGCTGCAAAGCCAGAGATCACTCTTAGGGTTTAGGGGCTTAGGGCTTAGGGCTTAGGGCTTAGGGTTTAGGGTTTAGGGTTTAGGGTTTAGGGTTTAGGGTTTAGGGTTTAGGGTTTAGGGTTTAGGGTTTAGGAAGGGGGGGGGGGGGGGGGGGGGGAGGAGGAGTTTGGGTGACTGAGAGGGCTGGGGGCTGCTTAGGGTGTTGATAAGATTTGGGGCGGAGGTTCTTTGGTTTGAGGAGTTTTTTGTTGGGAGTGGGGGGGGGGGGGGGGGTTGGGTCTCTTTGGGCATGGGCTTGCTTTGGAGCCGAACTGTTAACTGTTGTCTGCCCATTTCTTCAGACAGAGCTGTCGGGCTTCGTAGGCTTTGGGTTTTATGGGGTCGATAGGGTATATGGGCTGTCAGGGCTTCCAGGGTTTATCGGATTTAAGGGCGTATGGGGTTTCTGGGCCGAAACCCTAAACCCTGAACACTAAAAACCCTAAACCCTGAACCCTGAACCCTAAACCCTACACCCTACACCCTAAACCCTAACCCCTAACCCCTAACCCCTAAACCCTAAACCCTAAACCCTAAACCCTAAACCCTAAACCCTAAACCCTAAACCCTAAACCCTAAACCCTAAACCCTAAACCCTAAACCCTAAGCCCTAAACCCTAAACCCTAAACCCTAAACCCTAAACCCTACCTAAACCCGAAACTTGATGTGGAGGTGGCCTTGGCCCACTACTCCAAGTCGACACAGGACCGGCCGGATGTGGAGGAGAGGGTTTAGGGTTTAGGGTTTGGGGTTTAGGGTTTAAGGTTTAGGGTTTAGGGTTTAGGACGCCGAGTGTGGGGGTGGTTTGGGGTTTCGGGTCGAGATTTTTGGCGCTTCACTCCACCCCGAACGTACGAACCCAAGCGCCTCGAGATGAAAGGAATCACAAATATACACTGAGGACCCTACACCTTCCATTAGGAGTACCCCAAACGAGCCCAGGTATTTTGCCAAACCCGCCCTCTGAGGGTGCTGAACCCCTAGGCAGCCCTAAACCCTAAACCCTAAACCCTAAACCCTAAACCCTAAACCCTAAACCCGATTCCTCCCCCAGGAGGTCTTGCTGCCCCTGCTGCGTGCGTTGCCATCCGCGGAGCACGGCGCGGCCAGTGCCGTGCAGCTTTCGCACCATTTCTGGACTCCCGCTTCCCCCCGAACAGGTTTAGGGTTTAGGGTTTTGGGTTTAGGGTTTAGGGTTTATAGGGTATACCCATCAATAGTCCTCCCAAACCCCAAGCCCCGCACTAGCCCCCTAAGCCCCCTACCCTTGCAAGTTTCAGCCATGAACTTGGGAGAGACAAGAATGCAGGAGAATTCTACTGCACAAGGGGGGTTTGGGGTCGTCTAAGCCCGAAACCCTAAACCCTAAACCCTAAACCCTCAACCCTAAACCCCTTAAATCCTAACCCTAAACCCTCTCTTGCCTATGTACCCTCATGGGATTCGTGGGCATTTTGTGTTTTTTCTGGGCCCTAAACCCTGATGCCCTTCGTGGGCACATTTTTCTTCAGAAAAAAAGCAATATGCCCACGAGGTGCGTCAGGGTTTAAGGGGCCCTAAACCCTGACGCCCTTCGTGGGCATATTGTTTTTTTCGGGGCCCAGGGTTTGGGGGCCCTAAACTATGACGCCCTTCGTGGGCATATAGTTTTTAGGGACCCTAGGGTTTGGGGGGCTAAACCCTGATGCACTTCGTGGGCATATTGTTTTATTTAGGGGCCGCAGGGTTTGGGGCATAGGGTTTAGGGCTTTAGGGTTTCGGGCATAGGGTTTAGGTAGAGAGTGAACGTTATACTTTCTCAAAGTTATGGGTTTCTTGGCCTAAGGTTTTCGGGTTTTAGGGTTGTAGCTGTTTATAGCTTCGGAGGGGAGGAGGGAGTTGACCTTAGGCAGGCCCTTCAAGGGTGAGATGGCCCATTCCACAAACGAAACTTCCCTATGGGTGGTTGTCAAAATGATGATCCCTTCTTGCATCCCTATGATAATACGGCACCTAATATTTAGGGTACCCCAAAAGGGATCATAATTTTGACAGCCACCCCTATAGTTGTACATGATTTCGGGCTACTTACACCCCGTGCAAACCAAAAGAGGTCCCAAGGTCATTGTCGACGGGCTGGTTAAGCAGATGCTAGCTGCAACTCCCTTTGATACCCTAAACCCTAAACCCTAAACCCTAAACCCTAAACCCTAAACCCTAAACCCTAAACCCTATAGCCGTTTCGGAGGAGGAAAGCTGCTTTGGTGACGATGGTGCTGCTTCTCCTCCTCAAGGCCCTTTCTTGCCGCCGGGTTTAGGGCCGGGAGATGGTCGTTTTTGAAACAGAACGCGCGGCAGTACGGGCCTGCGTGTGGACTGATTTCTGAAGTTTAGGGTTTAGGGTTTAGGGTTTAGGGTTTAGGGTTTAGGGTTCCAACAAACAGAACTTATTGCTGGTGCGTTGAAAAAAGTATTTTTTCGTAGCTTCAAAGCCTATTGGCATGCTATTTCCATCGAAAAAAACGTGGGCCCCCCATTCCGACGCGCCTTCTCCCGAAAACTGGGATCCCGTTTTGAACCCTAAAAAGCACTGAAGGGGGCCCCCAAACCCCAAGCCCTCAAGCTCTAAGACCTTGAACTTAAACTCAAACCTAAAGCCTAAACCCGTGAACCTAAACTCCTGAACCCCAAACCCTGAACCCTGAACCCTAAACCCTAAACCCTAAACCCTAAACCCTAAACCCTAAACCCTAAACCCTAAACCCTAAACCCTTGAACTTAAACCCCTGAGCCTTCCCTCCCCAAAACCCCAAAAGCTCAAAGTCCTTCCGACCTACGCCATCGCAAGACTCGGCCTTCAGTCGCTTTGGAAGTTGCTCTTGGAGTTTTCGGGTTTTGAGGTTGGGTTCTAGTGTTTTGGTGTTTAGGTTTTTTTTTTTTGGTTTTTAGGGTTTTCGGGTTTGGGATTACCCTATAGGGTTTTTAGATTTATAAACCTTGAATCCTAAACCTAAACCTAAACTCCTAAACCCTAAACCCCTAGGGTTTCAAGGGCTTATGCTTTGGGAGGTCTGCGGATGCCTGTGCCAGGCCCTCGTGTCGGTGCTTTGTCTCGTTGTGGCCGTGTCCCTGTTTCAGCTACGGAGCCGCGACGTCGATTTGGCAGGGTTTAGAGTTTAGGGTTTAGGGTTTAAGGCTTTTTTGGCAGGATTTGGGGTTTAGGGCTTACGGTTTTGGGAGTCGGGGTTTTGGGTTTAGGGCTTGGGATCAATTATGAACGCGCCTTCTGACACGCCAGACCCTTGACGAGGAGGTGCCCTGCCCAGAGAAAACACGTAGAAGGAGGGGGGTAGGGGGGGGGACTCAAACCAACCTGCATGCAGGCTAAAACAGCTCTTCAAGGTGCGTGGTGTTTATAAGTTTACCTTAAGATCCCAGAACCTGCTTTTTTTCTGTAGGTTATCTAGGAATCCTATATGGGGTTTAGAGTAAGAGCCTACAAAAAGAGTATGTTTTGAGTTCTTAAAGGTAGAGTCGAAGCGAGTGCCTTGAATTGCAGAGCCTGTCGGTTTCCTAATTCCAATTTGGCGGCCTTTCGCGATGCATATGTGCATGACTTTCTACTATAAATAGGCGTATGTATATGAGTAATTGTGTATCACTTGTATGTAGAGATATGTATGTATGCATGTATGTATGCAGATAGATATGGATGAGAGAGCAACCTTTCGGGTCTATTTAGCTCCTTCCTTTGTTTTAATAAGTGAAATTAAATTAAATTATTTAAATTAAAATTATTTAAATTATTTAATTGACTCCCATTAAATAGTTTAAAAAATTTAAATAATTTAAATAAGCAAAATTATTTAAATTATTTAATGTATTTAATTGCCTCCCATTAAATAATTTAAATAATTAAAATAATTTAAATAAGCAAAATTATTTAAATTATTTAATGTATTGAATTGACCCCGATTAAATAATTTAAATAATTTAAATAATTTAAATAAGCAAAATTAATTAAATTATTTAATTTATTTAATTGACCCCTATTAAAGAAATTCAATAATTTAAATAATTTCTGGCTGGTCTGGAAAGTTTCCTGAATTAAATTTATTTTAATTATTTAATTTATTTAAATTATTTAAATTATTTAATTGACCCCTATTAAATAATTTAAATAATTAAAATAATTTAAATAAGCAAAAATTATTCAAATTATTGACCTCTATTAAATAATTTAAATAATTTAAATAATTTAAATAATTTAAACAAATTTAATTCCGGTAACTTTCCAGACCAACCAACAAAACAATTAAATAATCTAAATCCGACAGCTCAATTAAATAATTTAATTAAACTGCGGGATTTAAATTATTTAATTGTTTTTTTCTGGCTGGTCTGGAAAGTTTCCTGAATTAACTTTATTTAAATTATTTAATTTATTTAAATTATCTAAATTATTTAATTGACCCTTATTAAATACTTTAAATACTTAAAATAATTTAAATGAGCAAATTTTTTTTAAAGTATTTAAATTATGTAATTGACCCCTATTAAATAATTTAAATAATTAAAATAATTTAAATAAGCAAAAATTATTTTTTTAAATTATTTAAATTATTTAATTGATTCCCATTAAATAATTTAAATAATTAAAATAATTTAAATAAGCAAAATGATTTAAATTATTTACTTTATTTAATTGACCCCTATTAAATAATTGAAATAATTTAAATAATTTAAATAATTTAAATACTTTAAATATATTTAATTCCGGGAACTTTCCAGGCCAACCAGCAAAACAATTAAATAATTTAAATCCGACAGCTCAATTAAATAATTTAATTAAACTGCGGGATTTAAATTATCTAATTGTTTTTTTCTGGCTGGTCTGATCAGTTTCCTGAATTAAATTGATTTAAATTCTTTAATTTATTTAAATTATTTAAATTATTTAATTGACCCCTATTAAATAAATAATTAAAATAATTTAAATAAGCAAAAAATTTTTAAATTATTTAAATTATTTAATTGACTCCCATTAAATAATTTAAGTAATTAAAATAATTTGAATAAGCAAAATTATTTAAATTATTTAATGTATTTAATTGCCTCCCATTAAATAATTTAAATAATTTAAATAATTTAAATAAGCAAAATTATTTAAATTATTTAATTCATTTAATTGACCCTATTAAATAATTTAAATAATTTTAATAATTTAAATAATTTAAATAATTTAAATAATTTAAATAAATTTAATTCCGGGAACTTTCCAGGCCAACCAGCAAAACAATTAAATAATTTAAATCCGACAGCTCAATTAAATAATTTAATTAAACTGCGGGATTTAAATTATTTAATTGTTTTTTTTTTCTGGCTGGTCTGGAAAGTTTCCTGAATTAAATTTATTTAAATTTTTTAATTTATTTAAATTATTTAAATAATTTAATTGATCCCTAATAAATAATTTAAATAATTAAAATAGTTTAAATAAGCAAAAACTATTTAAATTAATTAAAATATTTAATTGACTCCCATTAAATATGCTAAATAAGTAAAATAATTTAAATAAGCAAAATTATTTAAACTATTTAATTTATGTAATTGCCTCCCATTAAATAATTTAAATAATTTAAATAATTTAAATAAGCAAAATTATTTAAATTATCTAATTCATTTAATTGACCCCTATTAAATAATTTAAATAATTTAAATAATTTAAATAAGCAAAATTGTTTAAATTATATAATTTATTTAATTGACCCCTATTAAATAATTGAAATAATTTAAATAATTTAAATAAATTTAATTCCGGGAACTTTCCAGGCCAACCAGCAAAGCAATTAAACAATTTAAATCCGTCAGCTCAATTAAATGATTTAATTAAACTGCTGGATTTAAATTATTTAATTGATTTTTTTCTGGCTGGTCTGGAAAGTTTCCTGAATTAAATTTATTCAAATTATTTAAATTATTTAATTGACCCCTATTAAATAATTTAAATAATTACAAATAATTTCAATAAGCAAAATTATTTAAATTATTTAATTTATTTAATTGCCTCCCATTAAATAATTTAATTAATTTAAATAATTTAAATAATTTAAATAAGCAAGATTATTTAAATTATTTAATTTATTTAATTGACCCTATTAAATAATTTAAATAAATTAAATAATTTCAATAATTTAAATAAATTTAATTCTGGGACCTTGCCAGACCAGTCACCAGACCCCTCTCCCCCTCCCCCCCCCCGGCTGAGAACTGGGGCTGGGCCAGGGCCGGGGTGGCTGGCTAGTGGGCGGTGGCGGGGGGGGGGGGGGGGGGGGGGGGGGGGGGGGGGGGGGGGGGGGCGGGTTGAAGGAGCTGAAAGCTGGAGAGCCAGCTCGCCGCCCTTCCCCTGCCATCCCTTTCCCACTGTTTCAAGGGCTGAGCTGAAGAGCTGGAGCTGGGTGGGCTGGTCTGGGGCCGGCGGAGAGGGGTTGAAGGAGCTGGGCTGGCCGAAGGGTGGAGGAGCCAGCTGGGTGGAGGGTGGGTCAGGGAGGGTCAAGGGGGCCAAGGCCCTGGCACAGGGCTGGGCCCCCCCCCCAACCACCACCCCTCTTTCTCTCACCATCCAAAAAGAGTTTAAACAAAAAAAACGTTTTTCTCTTCACCAACCCTCCCCCCTCCCTCTCCACCATCAAACGCCCTCACCATGCCTACTCCCCCAGCTCACTTTTCACTCCCTCACGTTCTCAACCGCTTCCACACATTAATCAGCTGCTTTACCCTATCATCTTCTTATCATATTTTATCATCTCTCATATTATCTCTTTTTATTATCTTCCATCATGTTTAATCATCTTCATATGCTTTTCTTATCATCTTCATATCATCTTTTTATCATCCTTTATCATCTTTTTTGTCATCTTTTATCATCTTTTAATCGGGTCAAAGTTCGGGATCTCATTGGGAAAGCATCCTTATCTGAATCATCTTCTATCGTTATCATCCTTTATCATTTTTTATCATCTTTTTATCACCTTTTATCACCTTTTATCACCTTTTATCATCTTTTATCATCTTTTATCATCTTTTATCATCTTTATCATCTTTTATCATCTTTTACCATCTTCATATAATAGTCTTATAATCGTTTTGTAGTCTTTTCTATTTTTTCGTAATCTTTAAGATCCTGTGGTCTCTAGTGCCATACCCTGAGTAAACTTGAAAATGTAGTGGCTGTCGCTACTTGTAACTTGTGTAAAGAGATGTGCTATATTGATGCACTGCAAATATATGTGTATACATTTTCAACAAGCTACAAGTAGCTACAGCCACTGCTCTAAAGTTAACAATCATAAAACAATATAATTACATGATACTCACAATGTGAATGCTGATAGTACCATTCTCCATTAAGCATATTTGTTATCAATTATTTTGTAGACCCTAAAGGATGCTCTCTCACTTATTTTATTTATATATATTATATACTATATATGTGAGTTAAGTTTACAGATGAAGTTTGGGGAGTCTCGCAAACTCACTCTTCAGGGATCGTTCTTTCAGGCCTCGGGCTCTTTCCTTTCAGGTTCCAGGCCTCTCCTTCAATCCGGAGTCATTCCTTTGAGCTCCGGGCAGAGCTTCTCTTAGAGGAGCAAGCGCAGAACGTTAGCTCAGCTGTCGCTCAGCTCAGTCAGAAGTATGAGCAAGGACTTGATGATATGCAAATACCTTCGTCGTTCATTGATGAAGGATGATGATCCATGTGATTTAGGCTAATTAAGGGTATATCCAGCATGCCTGCGGGAGCTGCGCGTGAAGGAGCTCAGATCTCGCTCAGATCACTGAGAAGTATGAGCAAGGACGTGGTTACCTGAAATTGTACGACGATGATTCATGCGGTTTAGGTTCATGTCAGCTTGCCATGAAAGCAAGCCTGTCATGCGACATCTTGGGTTTAGGGTTTAGGAATGATGCGAATTCTATGTTCTCAACGCTTAGAGTTGTGCTCACGTCAGCAACGACATTAACCTGGTGCGGTGCTCCAGCCCCTGCAGTCTCTGACTTAATGCTACATCCCCTACAGTCTATTGTGGCTGAAGGCTGCTGTCCCTGCAGTCTCTGGCTACAGGCTACTGTCACTGCAGTCTCTGGCTTAAGGCAGTTTCTGGCTTAAGGTTGATGCCTCTGCAATCTCTGGCTGAAAGCTACTGTCTCAGCAGTCTCTGGCTTAGGGCTGCTGTCTCTGCTGCTCTGCAGTTTCTGCCTACAGGCTACTGTCTCTGCAGTCTCTAGCTTAAGGCTGCTTTCCCTGTAGTTTCTGCCTCAGTTTATGGCTACAGGCTACTTCAGTCTCTGGCTTACGGCTTCTGTCCCTGCAGTCTCTGACGACTACAGGCTACTGTCTCTGCAGTGTCTGGCTTCAGGCCGCTATCCCTGCAGTCTCTGGCTAAAGGCTACTGCTCCGGCAGTCTCTGGCTTGAGGCTGCTGTTTTTGCTGCCCCTGCTGGCTACAGACTAATGTCTCTGCAGTCTCTGGCTTAAGGCCGCTGTCCCTGAAATCTGGCTGTTGTCTCGCGGCCCCTGCAGTTTCTGGCTACAGGCTACTGTCTCTGCAGTCTCTGGCTTAAAGTGGTGTCACTGCAGTCTCTGGCTCAAGGCTGCTGCTTAGTCTCTGGCTTAGGGCTGCTGTCTCTGCTGCTCTCCAGTTTCTGCCTACAGGCTATTGTCTCTGCAGTCTCTAGCTTAAGGCTGCTTGCCCTGTAGTTTCTGCCTCAGTTTATGGCTACAGGCTACTTCAGTCTCTGGCTTAAGGCTGCTGTCCCTGCAGTCTCTGACGACTACAGGCTACTGTCTCTGCAGTCTCTGGCTTAAGGCCGCTGTCCCTGAAATCTGGCTGTTGTCTCGCGGCCCCTGCAGTTTCTGGCTACAGGCTACTGTCTCTGCAGTCTCTGGCTTAAAGTGGTGTCACTGCAGTCTCTGGCTCAAGGCTGCTGCTTAGTCTCTGGCTTAGGGCTGCTGTCTCTGCTGCTCTCCAGTTTCTGCCTGCAGGCTATTGTCTCTGCAGTCTCTAGCTTAAGGCTGCTTGCCCTGTAGTTTCTGCCTCAGTTTATGGCTACAGGCTACTTCAGTCTCTGGCTTAAGGCTGCTGTCCCTGCAGTCTCTGACGACTACAGGCTACTGTCTCTGCAGTCTCTGGCTTCAGGCCGCTGTCCCTGCAGTCTCTGGCTAAAGGCTACTGCTCCTGCAGTCTCTGGCTTGGGGCTGCTGTTTTTGCCTACAGACTAATGTCTCTGCAGTCTCTGGCTTAAGGCCGCTGTCCCTGAAATCTGGCTGTTTCTGGCTACAGGCTACTGTCTCTGCAGTCTCTGGCTTAAGGCTGCTGTCCCTGCAGTCTCTGGCTAAAGGCTACTGCCCAGTCTCTGGCTTAGGGCTGCTGTCTCTGCTGCCCTGCGTACCGGCTACTGTCTCTGCAGTCTCTCGCTTAAGGCCGTTGTCCCTGCAGTCTCTGGCTGAAGGCTACTGCCCCTGCAATCTCTGGCTTAAAGCTACTGTCCCTGCAGTCTCTGGCAGAAGGCCGCTGGTTTAAGGTTTACAATGTACTTGCAAATGCTGTAAGAGCAAATGAAAAGATTTGGTTTCGATGTTTGGAATGGACTTGCCGGCAAATGTACTTGCGAATGCTGCTCCTGGCTGCCAAGAGTTTCAGGAGGTGCCTTTTCCCAAGAGATTGCTGAATGTTAACCATGCTTGGTCGGCGGCGCCCGCTTTAGCATCTATGTCATGTGAAGTGAGTGGAGTCAGAGGAGCACTTCTCCTTCTCTTTTTTTCTTTCTCATTTTGCTTCGAATGACGACGTTTTGGGAACCCGAAGGGCGCGGCCAGCTTGAACAGCAATTGAAGGGAAACGATGTCTCGGAGCCCCCGGAAAGACTAGAAGATACCGACGGCATGACTACTAAGTACTCACCCAGTGCTGGCAGTCGTGCGTCGCTGACTCACTCGCATACTTGCATGTGCTGCAAGAGCAAGTGACAGTGACAGGGTTTGGGAGGTTTAGAATCTACTTGCAAATGCTGCAAGATTGAATGTGATGGTTGGGTTGAGAGCATTAGAATGGACTTGCGCGTGCTGCAAACAGCAAATACAGGGTTGGGCTTAAAAATCAGAATGCAACTGCATGTGCTGCATCAAGCTAGAAACTGCAGTGGTTATCGACAGAAGCTATAGTTTGCAGCGATCTGAAGCATCAAGTCAAAGGCTGCAGGAACTGCTCACTGCATGTTTAGGTGTGTTTCGGCTCTGGCTGTAGAAGGGGCCTGTGAGCCATGACGGAGCCACAGGTGCTGCGAACCGCTCACGATATTATTACGGGCATCTGAAGGAAACAAAAACAGTATATGAATTCATCACGCGGAGGTGCCCTCTTGGAGCACTTTCCATGCGGCGCGAGACCGCGTCACAGCCCAATTTCAACAGGCTTTCAGCAACAAACCAAACAAATAACCATCGTGAGCCACCTCCGAGGCTTATCTCGCGATGTGTGCAGCGACTAGCAGAGAGCTGCAACCGGCGTGGGCCTCGCCGCGACCGAAATCCAGGCCCTTGGAAGTCTTCAGCTCAGATTTCGCAGAAGCAAGCGCAGAAGAAGTGCCTGCAATACATGAGAAACGTTTGACCGTGGATCTCAGGCCCGAATGTGGGCGGCAAAGCACAAACCCAGGCCTTTGGTAGTTCTCGACTCAGATAAAGGAAAGACAAGCGTAGCGCAACACAACACATACACCAAGCACGGAAGAAGCGCCTGCAACAAATGAGAAACGCTTGGCCGTTGATCTCAGGCCGGACCGTGGGCGCGAAAGCCCAAACCCAGGCCTTTGGTAGTTCTCGGCTCAGGTGAAAGACAAACGTAGCACAACACACACACACACACACACACACACATTCGTGAAGAGGCTCAGTCGTTTGTCTGAGGGGCAAGCGTCGCCTAGCAGGGTCCAGTACAGGCCGCCTGCACCGAGCTCAGTATATAGGCGAACACGAGCGCAGAACAAAGGACAGTCAGCATGTTAAGCCATGCTTTCTGAAAGAGTGAATCTGCCGCCCTCAGTTCTTCAGCTCGAAATGTGGCAGGTCCTGTTGAGCAACCTCCTTAACTGGACCCAGTTCTGCCCTCGACCCTTCAACTTAGCCGAAAGCATTCTCCTGGGGAGCGTGTGTTGGGTCCTGGGCTTTGTGAGTGGTTGCATCATCACCCTTCTCCTGACATCCTCTAAGTGCCGTCAGGTGCTGTGTGTTGTTGCCACTGAGTTCCTTAAGCCCCCTGCCACACCCGTAGTCGAAAGCCGATTGTCTGGATACCGCCGCCCTTAGTGCATGGTTGCGGGCTCCGTGACATCTGCTGGATCTTCGATTCGAGTGGAAGTTGCAGTGGGACCTGCGTCCGCTGAGGCGGAGGCTGACAGAACAACGGCGCCGCTGAGTGGACAGTGGTGGAGGCTCCCCGGCACTTGCGGGATTCTGCTGTGCGGAATCGCTTGGTGGGTCGCCACTCTTCCGAACTGGACGCTGGGAAGCAAGATTTGGTGCAGCCCGCAAGCACGGGTATACAGAACACCTGCTGATTTGGCGTCAGTGGAACGCAGTTGCCAGAACCTATCTAAGATGCCTTGGCGATTGTTAGGGGTGCGAAGAGCAGCCTCGCTTGAGCTGGCAGAGGGGGGACATCCAGAATGGCTCCTTTTGCGTGGAGGCAGCAGGGAGGTGGCAGTGATGCCAGTGCTGCGCCGAGAGGGGGGCCTCTTACTGGCTATGGCGGTGGAAGCCCTCACGGAGCAGGAGCGCGCAGACCAGAAGATGGAGGGGCTCACAGACGACCTGGGCCCAACCAAGATTGTTGCAGTGGATGGCTTGCCAGAGGACGAGGAAGAGGAGCCGGGCGATGTGGCAATGGTGTTGGTGGACTGGCCTCAGAGTTTGTACAAGTTTTTGCGAACAGCCGGCGGGGCCGAGCCGGCCTGGCCAGAAGCAACCATTTGGCCTCAGTACGAGGACAACCCTGTTTGCCACATCAACACGGATCAGCTTGGGCTCCTGGCACGCGAGTGGGTACAGACGCAGGAGTCCGCTTTGTCCGAGTCCTACGCCACGGCGGTGGAACCGTCGCCGGCACCTGTGAGGTCAACAGGACAGAAGGACACGTTGCAGCAATTGCTGCAAACAGTGACTGCGCTGCAAGCCGACTTGGCAGACCTGAAGGCTGGAAGGGATCTGGGGGCAGCGCCAAGCGGAGCATTGTCGAGCGGGCAGCCGTCTGGGGCGCTGGCCAAGGCTCAGGCGCTGGTTGGCCCACCTCCCCGATCTGCAGCGCTCCCCAGACCTGCAGTTGGCGCACCCCTCCTGGACTGTGGCGTCCCCGCGGCCGCAGGAACCGGCCTACGCGTCGAGGACGTCGAGGAGGAGGCCGAAGCCGAACCCACTACGGACAGTTTGCTGCGGACAGCTTTGGTGAGTCTGTTGAGCCAGCAGAGCAAGAAGAAGAAGTCCAAAGCTCCGGGCTTGCCTCTGCAGGCCATGTCGGATTCCGAAGGGGAGGAGGAGAGCGACCCCCTGAGGAAGTTGACTGGAGCACGTGGCACAATGTTGGCAGAGAAGTTGCGTATGGCTATGGAAGCCGATCCGCGAGCTTACATTGCCAGCATCGAGACCAATGCCGCCCACCTGCTAGGAGAACAGCAGGCCACGGGCTCCACTATGGAAAGGTATGCCAAGGAACAACTCCCCTTGGGCTCCGAGAGGAGCTTAGGCTACATGACATGGGCCATTGCCAGATGCCTCACGCTGCTCAAGGCCGGGGAGAGCGACAAGTGTCACCTGCTGCTACTGCTGCTCATGGCTGCCGTGGAGCAGTACAAGTTGGACAGCAATTGGGTGGCAGCGTGGCGAATAACCCAACTCACTCAGCCTCCGTTTGCCGAGTGGAAGAGCCGCGAGTTTGCCCTGCCGCAGCTGCGACAGGACCATGCGCACTCGCGACTGATCCACCCTACTTGGGCCGCGGCCATCATTGCAAGGCTCAAGGACGAAGAGACACTCCTCAAGAGGCGCAGTGTCGGAGAGGATTGGAATCGAGGATGGCCCAATCGTCCCAATCCACGCGGTCGAGGCCGAGGCAGAGGCGGTCAAGACGCCAACGAGAAAACAAGCTGAAGGACAGCTGCGACCCGGAGGGTTGCTTGGAATGGGGTGATTTGCCTCATGAGTTGTATAGACTTTTGGGTGCTACGCGCACCAACTTCTCGCGTTTTCTTAGGAGCTCTGTCTCGCAGCGGGGTGTTTTGCGCACTCCGCCTGCCGAGCTTTTGCCATGTCCTGTGCCCTATGCTTGGGTGCAAAGGGCTGAGAAGAGGGGATCCAGGCGCCAGAACCAACGGTTTAAACGGCGACGGGCCCTCGAAGTCCTCATTAACATTCAGGTTTGCGCCCTTAACTTCCTGGTCTTAGGCATGCCCCCTAGGTGTCCGCCAACTGGTTGCCGAGGGGAGTTGTCAGCTGAGCAGCGTAAGATGGTAACAAGCTTGTGGCACAGGACTAGCTCGGTGAGCCGCCTGGTGGGCAGTTTGGCTTCTGGTTGCGGTTCAAAGATTTCTTCTGTACAGTCTGAATTAGGTGTGTTAGAATCTGTAGTTGACTCCCTTAGGGACGTAGTTTATGGTTCGTCAAAACAAAATTCCACTAGCCCCTCAACTGGAGCACGAGCAGAAGTGGTTCCCACGGTCGCGAGTAGAGTGGCCTTCCCGGACAAATTGCTAGACTTTGACCCGAGCCCCTTTTTGCCGGAACCCTATTTGACTGCTTTTAGGGATCCCTCAAAAATACTACAAGAGCCACTTACCTCGCCACCAGCCTTGCCGCTAACAACTGCCAGAGCTGAGCTCTGGCACCTCTTCTTCCGCTGGGACCGTGCGAACAGACTTTGTCTTGCTCTGGAAGATGAGGTTGATCCCAGTCACGCGTGTAATCTTTTCTGTTTGGCCAAGTCCGATGGTGAGCTAAGACAAATCATTGATAGGAGGCCCCGAAATCGAGTTGAAGCAGATCCGCCCTCAGAAGGTCCAAAAATGGGGCATGCCAGTAGTTTCGTAGATATCCTGATTCCCCCCAATGGTTGTGTTCGGGTTCGTTGGATGATCTTAGGAACTTTTACCATGCCTTTAAAGTTACTGAGGGAAGGGCGCTCAGCACGCCCGTCGGGCCTAGCTGGAGGGCTGATGATTTCCGTGGCTCACAGGCGCTGACTCGTTTGAAGTGCCGGCGCCCGGAGGTGAATCTAGCTTCGGGTACGCGTGTGTACGCTTGTTTTTCGGGGCTTTCGATGGGAGATAAGTGGGCCCCGGCAATTGCGCAAGTGAGCCACGAACGTTTGCTGCAACAAGCTGATGCCCTTCAGCCTGATGAGCACATTAAACTTGGCTTCCCTTTGCCGCGGGCCCCTGCGGGCCACTATTCAGGAGTTTGCATTGACGACAAGGTTAGTTTGCAAATCTTCCCGTGCATCGTGCCCATAGGAGCCTCGCCAAAGGATAAGCCGGCACGTGACGCTGAAGCTTGCTCCCGATGCAGCCTATGAGGCAGCAGGCCTCGAAACTCATCCGAAGAAGCGAGTTCGTAGGGCCTCGGAATTTAAGGTTTGGGGTGCGCATTTCTGAGGTGATAGTGGCCTGCTGAGCATGGACTGCACCAAGCTTGCGGCGCTCGTCCTCGTTACTGCTCAGGTAGCGAAACTAGGCATGTGTTCAGAGCGTCTTCTGCAACAATTGCTAGGGCTATGGGCGTTTGCCTTTCAATTCAGGCGTCCTATGTTTGCGCTTTTCTCTGTAGTGTACCACGTTGGCCATCCTGAGGGGTTACAAGACGCTCCATTTAGAATGCCACGCTTGCTGCAGCAGGAGTTGCTTTTAACTGCCGCTCTTGGGATGTTGGCGTCAACGGCACTTAAGACTCAAGTTTGCAGCCATATCTTTGGAACGGACGCCTCCCCCAATGGAGCTGGCTTGATATCATGCCGAGTGGGGCGTAGTGTAGCCGCGGAGTTGTTTCGAAGGGCAGATAAGAGAGGGTTTCACACCAGGTTGTTGAGTCCAATTGGGGCGTATCTTCATGCTAGTGGCCATTGTGTTGAGGAACCTGAGTTTCTGCTTAAGGAGGCACATCGCCCCAGTAGCCCTCCCCCAACACTCTGTGCACGAGCCCCCTCACTGGCAGCGCGTGCTCCGGAGTCGCTGCGTCTCCGCGCAGAGCTGGCTACGCTTTTTGAACGCTTTGTAGCCGCTTGCCTGAGGAGTTCTTCTTTCTCTATCCAGTCCTTCCGGTTAGACTTTGTGGAGCTTTACTCGGGTTCTGCGAAGTTGTCTAAAACCATGGTTGATCAGGGGTTTCAGGTAGGACCGCCGATTGAGTTTAAGGAGGGTTGGGATTTAAGCAGTTTGGATCTGTTTGAGTTCCTTGTGAGCCTCTGCAAAGCGGGAAGGATTGCTCTTTTGTGGGCCGGTCCTCCGCGCACGACATTTTCGCTGGCTCGCCGTCCGCCTTTAAGATCATCAACAGAGCCTTGGGGTTTCAACATTTTGGACCATCAAACCCTGATAGGTAACTTCCATCTTCACCTTTGCCTCTGTTTGTTTGTGATTCAGGCGATGCAGGGCGGTGAGGCCTTTGTAGAAACGCCTTGGGGAGCATATTCTCGGAAGTTGCCCTGGTGGGTATTATTGGCAAGTCTCTTTTGTGAGATCAGGTTGGACCAGTGTAGGTTCGGTACACCGTTCCTGAAGCCCACGGGACTTTTGTGCACTTCTCGGCAATATGCTGCTTTAGGGCGGCGTTGTATGTGCAAGGGCCGACACCAGCGCCTGGAGGGCGCTATGTCCACGAAAGCAGCGGCCTACCCTCCGCAGCTCTGTGTGGAGTTTGCGCGCATTTCCGTTGAGCTTGCAAACACCCGAATGCCTTCCGAGACGCCGGGCGACCCCTGCATGGCTGAGCGTCCACGGAAGCACGAGCATGGTCTAGGTGACCACCGGATCTCACAGAGGTTTGTAAGTCATCTTTGGTCCACTCATTTGGCTGAAGCGCTACCTTGGAAGGTCATCCGTGCATACAGGTTCAAGCGTCCAAACCACATTAATGTTCTGGAAAGCCATGCCCACATGACTTTAATGCGAGTTGCACCGATGGATTGTCGACTGGTGGTGTGTCAAGATTCTATGGTCACCTTAGGTGCTAATGCCAAGGGGCGTAGCTCTAGCTTGGCCCTGAATAACATTATGCGTAGATCTTTAGCCTACCAGCTAGCCAAGAACTTGTATCCAGTTGGGGTGCATTGCCCAACTTGGGCCCTGCGAGCTGATGATCCATCACGCTCCCGCGTAATTCGACCACCTCGGTCTCTTGTGCCTGCCTGGTTCTTTGCTCTTAGGCGAGGAAATCTTGCAGAAGCCCAAGATGAGTTGGACAGGGCTTCAGACACCGCCAGGTCGTTGGGACGTTGGCTGCTGTTCGCGAGCGCTGCTCTTTTGGCTAGTAGTGGCAACTACAGGACGGTTGGTGCATGGGCCAAGACCTCCCAATGCCCCACGGAACCGTCTAGAGCTCGAGAGGGGCGCAGTGACGCAGAAAACAGCTGTCCTCAGACAAGGCCTGCTCCTGCAGTTTCAACAATGGTTGGAGGAACAGAATCCCGAGGGGATGCCTCTTGCAGAGCTGGCTGCTCAGCAGCCCATCCAGCTATCACTCCAGCTGGAGGAATACGGCAAGCACCTCTACGAGTCAGGAGGGACAAAACGGACCTTTGCCGAAACCATCAATTGCGTAGTCCAGAGATACCCCTTCCTGCGCGCCATGATGGCAGGACCGTGGCGACTTTTGACAACTTGGGAGACACTCTGGCCTGGCAAAGTGCATCCGCCGATGCCCCTGCCATTGTTGAAAAGTTTGGTCTCGACCTCCCTGGCTTGGAACTGGCCGCGCTTCGCGGCGCTCCTCTTGATCGGCTTCTACGCCTTGTTGAGGCCCTGCGAGTTCTTGGCCCTCAAGGTGTCCGACTTCCTGACTGCTGCCGACACAGGATGCTCCGAGGCATTCTTCATAAAGCTCATGCTGGTCAAGTCGCGAACACGAGGAGCCCGCATGCAGAGTGTGCGGTTGGATGTTCCGTTTGTGGTGCAGTATCTACAAAGACTCTTTGCAGTAATGGAGCCATCAGAAAAGATTTGGTGCTTCTCCACTTCCCTTTTCCGCACCAGTTTGCAGAAGATTCTCCGCGAAGTCGTAAGGCAAGACTCTCTAGTCGTTCCAAGCTCTCTTAGGCCGGGGGGGGCAACGTTTTGGTTTAGGATGTGGAATGAGGATGTACCTAGACTTCAATGGAGAGGACGCTGGCTACATTTTAAAACGTTGGTGCACTACATTCAGGAATTGGGATGCATCAATGTGATGGAAGCTGTAGCACCGGCATGTCGTACAAAAGTATATGCCTTGGCGAACCTATGCGAGGCGGCTTGCACGGAGTACAGGATGGAGGCAGACCTGTCTTCTCAGGTCCATAGGCTGCTTTGCGCCTGTTCTGCGCCTTAAACTTTTCCGCAGTTGCACGGTTGTATACCCTTTCCTTGAATCTACTCAGCGGGCCCGCCCGCCCTCCCGAAGTGTGTGTTTGGGTACAGGGCATAGCGCAAAGCTTTGCGTTGTGTCTTGCTAAAGCTGTGTGTGACTGTGGAATTCACTTTGTGCAGAGCACGCGAGAAAAGAGAGGGCCGCAGATGGTACGATGAGGCAAGCATGTTAAGCCATGCTTTCTGAAAGAGTGAATCTGCCGCCCTCAGTTCTTCAGCTCGACCTCCTCCGCCCCTCCTCCACAGGGCATAGCGCAAAGCTTTGCGTTGTGTCTTGCTAAAGCTGTGTGTGACTGTGGAATTCACTTTGTGCAGAGCACGCGAGAAAAGAGAGGGCCGCAGATGGTACGATGAGGCAAGCATGTTTATGGGACGCGTGAGGTCCGTCTTGCGCGGCCTGAGCCGCGACCAGTTCCCCGTGTTTGGAACTCGATCGTTGATGGACACACTTGGCTAAGCAAAACATTTCCTCCGTTGAGGTGCAGCCACAGGCGTGCGTCCGGCCAGCCCAAAGCTCACCGCCAGATGCGTGCGTCCTCTCAGCCCAAAGCTCACCTGTCCACAACGACCGGTGAGGCTTTGTGTCCGAGACCACCACCGTATGCACCACCTGCCATGGACTTAGACAGCGGTGTGTATTTTCAGATAAACAAACATGAAATGCGTTAAACGACGCATGCCTTGCTCAGGCTCTCTTGCTCTTGAAAAGGAAGCTGCAGGCGTATCCGTCCACCGACCACAATGTGACTCGGCTTCTTAGATACACCACTCAGAATTCAGAAAAATAGTAGCTCGTGAGGTCCAGAGAAAGCAAAGCAGAACCGAGTATGCGGAGGCCTTCAAACTCGACTCTGTTCTGCGTAAACAAGACAAAAAAAGAAAACTGACCAAGCATCGACTTTTGGCAGGACACGCAGCCGTACGAGGTGGAAGGCAACTCAGATGTCGTGACCTCGGATTCAGCTGCAGTCATATCCGTCCACAGACTACAATGTGGATAGGCTTGTCAGATACTAATCAGAATTCTGAAGAATAGTGGTGCTTCAGGACGAGAGGAACAGTTTCGAGGATGCCGAGGCCCCAAACAACAACAAAAGAAACCTGGTTAAGCGTTGACCCCTGTCAGGGACCACCTGACTTCGAGCTGGAAAGCGACTCAGAAGTCGTGACCTCGGATTCAGAAAATGAAGCTCCAGTTGCAGTCGTAGTGTGCCTGAATTCAGAAAAATAGTAGTGCTGCAGGACGAGGGAAACACTCTGGAGGATGCCAAGGCCTCAAACAACAACGAAAGAAAATTGGTCAAGCATCGACTTTTGGCAGGACACACAGCCGTACGAGGCTGAAAACGACTCAGAAGTCATGACCTCGGATTCAGCTGCAGTCATATCCGTCTACAGGCTACAATGTGCATCGGCTTGTCAGATACACTAATCAGAATTCTGAAGAATAGTGGCGCTTCAGGACGAGATGAACAGTTTCGAGGATGCCGAGGCCCCAAACAACAACAAAAGAAATCTGGTTAAGCGTTGACCCTTGTCAGGGACCACCTGACTTCGAACCGGAAAGCAACTCAGAAGTCGTGACCTCAGATTTAGAAAATGAAGTTGCAGTTGCAGTCGTAGTGTGCCTGAATTCTGAAAGATAGTAGCGCTGCAGGACGAGGGAAACACTCTGGAGGATGCCAAGGCCTCAAACAACAACGAAAGAAAATTGGTCAAGCATCGACTTGTGGCAGGACACGCAGCCGTACGAGGAGGAAAACGACTCAGAAGTCGTGACCTCGGATTCAGCTGCAGTCATATCCGTCCACAGACTACAATGTGGATAGGCTTGTCAGATACTAATCAGAATTCTGAAGAATAGTGGTGCTTCAGGACGAGAGGAACAGTTTCGAGGATGCCGAGGCCCCAAACAACAACAAAAGAAACCTGGTTAAGCGTTGACCCCTGTCAGGGACCACCTGACTTCGAGCTGGAAAGCAACTCAGAAGTCGTGATCTCGGATTCTGAAAACGAAGCTCCAGTTGCAGTCGTAGTGTGCCTGAATTCAGAAAAATAGTAGTGCTGCAGGACGAGGGAAACACTCTGGAGGATGCCAGGGCCTCAAACAACAAAAAACAAAAACTAGTGAAGCATTGACCCTTGTCAGGGACCAGCTGACTACGAGGCGGAAAACGACTCAGAAGTCGTGACCTCGGATTCAGCTGCAGTCATATCCGTCTACCGGCTACAATGTGCATCGGCTTGTCAGATACACTAATCAGAACTCAGAAAAGTAGTAGTCCTATGCAAACTCTGTCAGGACGGCTCTGCTGCTGCTGGCGGAATAGTTGCGGCCGGAGACTCGAAATGAGTTTTCTGAGCGAGAAAGTCTTGCGTTCAAAGCTTATGCGCAAAGGTGCCCAACAAAACACCAGTCAACTTGTTCTGGCTGCGAGGGACCGCTGGAGCATATGGCATAAGCTGTCTCGCATAGCGCCCTGAACTCATCATTGACAGGAGGATGCGGCGAGTGCTCCAGGAGTCACCATGGAGGCTCATTTTTTTAATGGTGTCTTGTGGAGTACGATGCTGCTCGAGTTGAATGCGTTGACCCATAAGTCTCCTTGACCCTAAACCCTAAACCCGAAGCGCAAGCTCCCTCGTTAGCAAACTAGGCGAAACAGAGAGTATCACCTGCGCTGCCGGCGCTCGGAGAAGTGCCGCGGCTGTGTGAGGTTTAGGGTTTAGGGTTTCGGGTTTAGGGCTAGGGTTTCGGATTTAGGGGTTTAAGGATTAAGGGTTTATGGTGTAGAGCTGAGGATTTAGGGGTTGAATTACGGCCGAGGGGTTTCCAGCTCCAGCCTTAGAGTTTCAGCTTGACAAAGCACAAGCTAAGTAAAGCCCTAAACCCTAAACCCTAAAACCTAAACCCTAAATGACTAGTGCGGAGTATCAAGGGACCCTGGGTTGCATACCGACCCTTAAACCCCTTAAGGCTCTATGAAACAAATACTAAACGCTAAGCCCTACCTCAAGAAGGCCCGAAGATCCAAATCACCTCACCCAGGTGATGTGATGAGGGGGCTGGAAACACCTTGATGCGGCCAGCGCAAAAATGTTTGAGAAGCTCTTCTTTGGCTTGCTTCTCAATATATGAAGGGTATAGGGTTTATGGTTTAGAGTTTAGGGTTTAGGGTTCCTGCAGTCATTTGATCTGAGATCTTTGGTTCTTATGTCCACCATGACGCCACCTTACGGGATTCAGATCTCCAGTGAGGATGCCCTACCGGAGCACGCCTTGGCTGAGGAAACTTATTTCCTTGACGGCATTGTCTACGCGCATTTGCTTTACTGTCTGCTATAGGTTCTACTCTGAACCTTAAAACCTAAACCATAGAATAAAGATTAGGGTGATGAGCCTATGTTTCCTTTAGGCTAAAAGCGGCTGTGCTCACCGCGCTGCGTGGCTAGAGTCTAAGGCTAGAGTAGGTTTAGGGTGGACTTCAAACAAGGAGAGCCTCAGTCTAGGCTCTAATCCTTGGGTTTTGTGTTGTAGAGAATACCCGAAGGCTCGTAGGTAGCAGCTATTCTGAAAATATTTATATTAGGTAGTTTAAAGAGAAAAGAAAAACTCTATGCTAAATAAACCCTAAAGGTTCCGGGCTCAGATATGGATAGGCTCTTGTCAGTCAAGGCTTGTTCACCAAACCTCAACCCACCCCCCCCCCCCCCACCCCTCCGCCCCGAGGAGAGGCATCCGACGACGACGAAGAGAGCACAGTATTCGCAAGCCCCCGGAGACCCCAAAGTGCAAGACCTGACGCTAAATGGGTATGTCTCACCAGCCGGCCCTGGTTGCGTTTGAGAAACCCTAAACCCTAAACCCTAAACCCTAAACGTTCTCTACGCATGCTTTGAGATTGTGGGGGCCCCACGTGTGTTGAAAGGTCAGAGGGAGATTTGAGCATGGGGCTGACATCCTCCGGCCCCCAAAAACAAAAGGACGCGGCATCCCCGAACCTCATCCCCGAAATCGCCTTGGAGGGTTTAGGGCTTAGGGTTTAGGGTTTAGGGTTTAGGGTTTAGGGTTTAGGGTTTAGGGTTTAGGGTTTAGGGTTTGGGGAGGATTCGGGGCGTATTCCCTGGACCCTCAACCCCCCTTAAGCCCGGCAACTTCTACGAGCGTCTAAGTACGGCCGGCTTTGAGACATACCCACCGGCCCCTTTCAGCTGTGGAACATAGCTTGATGGAGACCCTTCGACCTCTCGCAGGCTACACGCCCCTGATGTGAGCTCTACATTCTGAACCCCTAAGCGAAACTCTTCCACCCCACATACACCCCAAACCCTCCACTCCCTAAGCTAAACTCTGCCCCTTAAGCCTCCACTCCTACACCCTGAGCTCGAAAAGAACAGTACAAAACAGCAGTTTTCCATGCCCTGCACCACAAACTCCAGAGGCTGAGGTTGAGATGTGAAGGCGTATGATCTTATGGGCTCGTGATTGAGGCTTGGATTCTGGGTGACTTCAAAATGGCCCCTGACCCCCCCCCCCCCACTTCCCCTCCAGGCGTAAACGCTAAACCCTAAACCCTAAACCCTGCAACTCCTGTCCCGAAACTCCAGGAGAAGACTTTTTGAGGCCGAGGCAGAACACAGCGAGGCAGCTGACCTTACGGGAGGCAAACTCAAGAACACCTGAACAACCCAAGCACGCCTCTTTCCTGCTGCCCTGAACCCTAAACCCTAACCCCTAAATCCTAAACCCTAAACCCTAAACCCTACTACCCCTAAAACCTGAACCCTGAACCCTAAACCTTAAACCTTAAAACCCCTAAACCCTACTCCCCTTTGCTGGCGTGAGGGTCTCTTTTCCATCAAGAGACAAAACAGATGCAGCTCGTCGAATGACGTGGGCGCTTCGGCCATGGGGTTTACTGGACCTTAGGGCT